TAGTAGTCCGTTTCGAACCACTACACCAAACGGCCAATACTTTTAATATGTTTGAATTTCATCCATAAAATTTGGCGTTAATGTTTGGTGAAAGCAGCATCAAATAGCGTATTAAGGCCCGGCACGATCTTACTCCAAAACCTAATCCTCGTGCCAACTACGGATTCACGCCTCTTCTAGCCTATCTTACCGTCCGTATTAAGAATTTTAAGTGGATCATTATAAGAAGCACTGCGCCTTATGGGATATAGTGGATTTTTAAAAGGTAAAAATAAAGTATCATCTTTCGACCGACAAAGATAATTTTTTTTAGCACAAAGTTAGACACGCATTCTTTAACTTTTCTTTCTAAAAGTTAAATATAAACTGTTTAGAATAGAATAGAAAAAATACAAAACTAGGTAGGTTTTCCTTATTGTTTTTGTAAACAATTCCTTTTTTCTTTTCGTTAGGGTCTTTGAATTTGATGTGCGATAGCTTTAAAATAACTGGGCACGATATTGAAAATTCCAAAAACATCAGGTTTGTAGAGTGCTCGTTTTATAGAACAGTGGGAATAGCATAACAAACAGCGGACCCATGTAAATAAAAACAGAACAATCATTGTTGTGCCCTCCGAAAACGGAACTGCAATGGTATTTTTCAAACGATCGTAGTATCTCTAATAGTACAATGGAGTTGGCAGGAGCAAAACAGCTTTATTTTATACTATTTAGAGCTTTAAAAATCAGTAAAAAATGAGATGTAGGACATTGTCTTCTAAAAATACTTATTATTATTAATATAATTAAATAATATCAGTAAGTAGTATTGACTTAGCAATTTTATTACGATTACTTAAATACATAGGTAATCCCATGACATTATGAGTAAAATCAGACAAAAACACATTACCTACCTATTGAACACTTTTGAGTGATATTTAAATATAGCTCGTAGGTACAACTCATATAGTAAAAGTATAGTAAAATTACATTCTTCTTGACGATAAAGGACATAAGTAAAAGTACACGTAAATGATAAACATTATGATGAGGTAGGCTGTACTCCTTACGTGGAAACAAAATTCTCACAATAAAATTACGCTATAACTCTTTAGAAGATTATAATAATTTGCAGTAATTTGATATGCAGATTTATGAATCACGTATTTTGCAACAATTTGATATCCAGAAATAGAGTTACATTATGATCATGTTAATTAAAGGTTGTTGCGTGGTTGGTTTCCTGCTGGTTAAGTCTTTATTTTCAATGTACGAGTATGTTACGATACGATACGATACGATACGATACGATACGATAATGCAGCTAACTCTGCCAGGACGAGGCCTACTCCGTTCAAAGTAACACGTTATTTTAAAGCTAATAATATAGAGAAATCTTCTTTGACAGGAAAGCCATAGGGGTTCGACGACATGACTCAACTGAACCAACGCTTGTCGTGCCCTACGAAGCACAGAATCATTGTATTTTTGAACTCAAGTTTCAATTTATTATGTTTGACTCCTGGAAATCAAACACAGTCTAGGACTCCAAATCGGTCTTTCTAACCACCACCACCACGGAGGTGTTCGTCGCATAATTTTATGTTACGTATTTATTTATTTAACACACAAGAAGATGCTATGTATAGGTACGAGTATCTTGGTTCACTTTTTCACTTTCCCTTCTCTGCTCCTTCCCTTGGATCACTTTCCCTTCTGCAGATATCTTCCTATTATAAAAATAAGGTGTTTCAGGTAGTACCTAAATAAAAAAAAATATTTAGAGGAACAATATCAAAATACATATATTAACATTATTAGACCTAGCCAGATATATCTGAAGCAAATATTATTCTCCTTGAATTGTGACGTCTTTGCTATAACTGGAAAAAGCAAAAGCAATTTTGGTCTTACTTTTGTCGCTGAAGAAAACTATACAGGTATACGGTATAAGGAATTGAATTAGTGGCAGACTGAGGACGTTCTAGGGACAGAGGTAGGTAACCTGGTAATTGCAAGTCTTTACCAATTTACCATTTTACAGATAATACATCCTATTACAAGTATAAGTATACGTCATGTATTTCAGGCGTAACGGGTGTAACATACTTAAAGGCACTGGGTCTCTATCAGAAGGAACTCTAGGGGTGGAATCTTCATTGGCGTGGGTTAACGGGCAAGGAGATAATATCTTGGATGGTTGACAACCACTTTTCCTACAATTTAACGTTCCACCAAACTCAACACGCTCTCCAAGATAACCTCGCAGCCGCCTGCTCACACTTGACATGACACAACTGATTGACAGTTATCTTTTTCTGCGCATCAGTCGGGTGTTACGTTTAGGAATCACAAACCTTCCGCTCTACAGATTTATACAGATAACATAATATTAAGATTGGTATAGCCTGACCAGGAACATAAAAACCCTGGCATAGAGGCGCGTCAATTGCATTTGATAGTGCAACACTGAGTACAGTCGTACCTGTGTTAAATTAATAGGCTAACTTTATGTATCAGGAATCAGGATTCAGGATTACGGGCTAATTTGATATTTTCATAAATTAACGAAAAAATATTAATATAGGTAACCTGGTTTAAATAAATTAAATGAAACCATCAATCGAGTTAGTAGGATTTATTTTATTATTCATCAATAATCAAATTCAGAACTTGAATATTCAACTGCAATGTCTGCTCATGAACGCTTCAAACTCGGTACTTCTTTCCCAATTCCATAAAATTCAACACTTAGAAAGTGACAAAAAACTTTAAAATAGTTAGTTGAAATAAACCACAGCTAATTTTCATAGTGGACTGTACTATACGATAAACATGTCAGTCAATTTGACAACCTTTGTCGAAAACATTATTCAATGAAAATATTGTCCGAACCCTTAGTATTTCTCTTCGACAAATACTTTAACACATTGTATAAAAATATACACACTCAGCAGTTGAAAATCTCAACAATCCAAAACAGAATAAGTTTCATACATAGGTAAAACTTTCAGCAACAGAAACAATAATCACCATAATTATTATATTGATGCAACATGCAATTAGTACCTAATGAGTTATCAATTGTTAATTAATAAAGTTAATTAATAGTTAGTAGGTAGTTGTTGATAAATTGAAACGCAAGTTGACATGTATGAAACGGTTAACATGAAATTAGTTGAAGTTTAATAATTATGAAGTTAGAGTATAGTTAATTAAACTATATGAAGTTAGAAGTAGAATAAGAACAATAGTACAATTTTATAAATATACAAATACACTGACACAGGAAATCAATTTGAACAGTGCACTATAATGTTCAATGTTTTAACGTAGTAATGAGAGTCAAACAGTGGGAGGTTATGATTGTGGTACTTGCGTGACTGCGGTGCTGATGGACTGTCTTTGGTTGTACTTCACTTGGTTACTTACTGAGATGGTAGTACTTGTTAGAGTTCAGTTGTTAAGTATTAAGCACACTAAACACGGTTTCACGCACAAATCACACAATACACCCATGCACGATGGACGACGAAGAAGCAGGCATGCGAGTGGCGTCAGGTCAGGGGCGAGGTAGTAGCTCGTTGTGTAGATGCCGCGAAGCGTAACCGGGATGATTTGTGTTCGGGATCTTGATGATGATAATCCGGGATCCGTTTGGAACGTACGGTGGTCACCAGTTTGGGGATTTATGAGGCGGCTTTCCCCGAGCCGAATTAAACTCCGGTTAGTGTTACACACGGCGTGTATTAAAGAAGTTGGTAGCAGGTATATACAGTATTTTACACAACGGTGTCACGTACAAGTGACTTTATGATGTTGACACTAGTTTACGAGGCGTATGCACAAGTGCTTTACGAATAGTTTTTGTATTTACAATTTGTAAGACAACGTTAGCGTCGTTGGTTCTGAAAAAGCGCCAAAACCAAGTGTCGTTCGGAAAAGGTCATCTGTCAAAGTCAGGTTTTGACAGCTATGTTTGTGGTGCGTTCGGAAATCTAAAATAATCGAACGCCACACAAGTGTTTTTTTTTTTTTATGCAGGACAAGGCAGGTATATGACAGATGTAGTCTAGGATGGTACATAGGTATCTGCCCTGTAAGTGCCTATTCACTCTCGCCTTGAAAAGGCCCGGATTATAGTGTTCAGGAAAGACAGCAGCAAGCAGCAAATTCCCTTATAAAAGAGTCATCGAAACGCTTAGTGCGAGCTGGTGGAATGTTTTTACATTTATAACCTTTGCATGAATACTCGTGAAGTTAACACTTTCCCTGTGAGAGACTAGAATACCTCTACAAGAGCTTTGCAATCGGAAACAGGAGCCTAATAGCTCCTGTTGCTAGTGGACTAATGTCCACTTTGTCCAGCCTTACTACTCAGGTACATACTTACATTAACTAAATACACTGGACCGCAAAGAAAAAGGTTCTGTTAGAAAATCTTCTTTATCTTCAAAAGTAACCTAATAATATAAATTAAACAAATAACCTTATAAACAAAACATACTGGAAAAATACATTTTTATTTATTTTACATTTATTAACCCGGCGTCAATGACGCTGGGTCATATTGACCCGAGGCATTTTCAAACGTTCATAATTTTTTTTTGTGTCCATTTTGTGGTTCGAGCGTTCGTATAGCTGGAGATAGAACCTCCCTAAGTCCATTCCGTTAGTTAACTCATTGTGACTCCGCTTGCGTAGCGAGATACACAGGCTTCAAATAAAAACGGGTCATTATGACCCGGCGTCATCGGTGGCGCGGTGATTTTGTGACTTACTTTTATTCGCTTATTTTGTGTTTAATGCTAGCTTATGTTGTTCTTTTTTAAGTTTTAGTCAAAATGTCTCTGTTAAATGACCCAGCAAGGATGAAGCGTTGCTAGAAGAGTCGGATTCCGAGATTGAAGAATTTCAGGCTGTAATAGCCAGAACTTAGAAATGGCAACAAATGCAACAATTGTGAAAAAGACGCAAGTAATGTGGACTCAGTCTTCGGATAATCTCGAACTTGCATTAGTACGACGCCGGCAAGTGCGTCATGTCACATTTACATGCCCAGACCATTTGATTACATACTGCACCAGTTGCAGCAGTTCCATGACTCTGAATGATGAAGTAGAAGACTGATCTCATTGTATTTGCATATAAAAAGTTGATTTTATCTCTTTTTCACTATATAACATTGTTGATTCCTATTAATACTAAAAATCTTTACCAAAAACAAAAAATATAGACTCAAATGTGTTTCTATACATGATTTTTTCATGTTTTGTTTAAAAATTCATAAAAAATTATTCATTTCATGTATTCGTTTTGTTTTTGTTTTATTAGCTCAGTAAAAAACCCTACATTCATAGACAGTAATTAAATTTAAGATTACTTGTAACATTTCCTGAAAAATGATCGATGAAATGTGGGTCAATATGACCCAGGGTCATCGTCTTTGCAATTATTTTCACGTCATTGGCGCCGGGTTAAAAATGAAAAGCTGAAATTATTTTGCTCTTTATTTCATATAGCTACGTAGCATACTTTTGAAGATATTGGAGATTTTCTAACCGACCCTCTTTCTTTGCAGTTCAGTTTTAAGGATGTGCCAATCTTGCAAAGTCTTGCACGATGCAAGATTGGCACATCCTGTGCCAATCTTGTATCGTGATTCGTGAAACATTCCATCAATACTGATATTCCACCTCCTTCCCTCAAATAAATACCAGCTGCACTTACTAATGCGAACTCACGCCCTAACACGCTCACAATCTATGTCTCGGAACGTGAGTAAAATCCCAAACCACTTAGGCAAACCCGTGAAAAACGCTGAGGCACGCTTTCATTCCTTCAACGTGATACTAAATTTCATTTAAGCAGTTATTAAGTATACCTATCCTCGAGTAACTATAGCTGATGATTAAAATTTCTGCTGATGATTAGGAATGTATTGCGTAAGTACTTACCTATTTCGAAAGACTTTGTTGCATAAAATAGGTAATTCATTCTTGGGGAAATGTATTACCATATTTAACAAAATACCACACAACCTTGTCGAATTGCCAATAAACAAATTTAAGATACATATAAAAAATAGGTACCCTTATGTCCAAAGGGTACTACAAGGTTCGAGACTATATTGATGACAAGGATGCGTGGTCAGTTCAGTCTGCACATATTTGATGTACTTAAATTTGGCTATTCTTATCGTTAGATAATTCCTGGCAATAAGTGGTGACTGGGTTTGTTCCGGCGTTTCTTCTCAGCACTTGCCATATGTTTGTCTCAAAGCGCTGGTAGGGCCCAAAAGATAAGGAGACATGTAAAGTGCCCCATAAGGGCTACCTTTTCTTTTTTATTATTTACATTTTGACGTTCATAAGTGCCACTTGTGGTCTAAACTGAATAAATATTTTTGATTTTGTTCAAATATGTAGTTCGTGACCATAGCTNTAAGCGTAGGCGCAACATGTGTCAATTGCACTCTCTTGCCGCTCATATCTATGGTGCGCCCCTCCCGGTCCAGAATTAGCGGCGCCGGGCCACTGCCCGTGTTTGCTAAAGCGCCACCTGGTGACAGAAACACATAGAATATACTTTGGTATTACGTATTACTAAATTTAACTAAAGTCAAACAAGAGACTGATGCCCGTTTTCACCATCAATCTCTAATTTTTAAGTGACCCCTAAGAAAACAAAATGCCTGTTATGTGTTACCATAGGGGTCACTTAAAAATTTGGGATTGATGGTGAAAACGGGCATGAGACCGCGACCGTTACTTCACTTAAGGCTGATTTACACGTGTTAAGTAGATAAGTAGGTAACTTAATTTTAAGTGATTAATTGCGTGTAAACACATAATTAAGTAGTAAGTTGCAAGTTAAAATCTAGTTGTCAACTAAATTTTAAGAAGCTAGTACTGTTTACATCCAATTTAATCGCTTAAAATTATGTTACCTACAGACCTACTTAACTACTTAATACATGTAAATCAGCATTTAGGTCTATGTCTACTGTCTCGCTCGCGAACTAACGCTTATAGCATTATAGATCGTTTCATCCACGAAGACGCGCCCCACCATTCTTCGTTAATGTTTGAGTGTTATCGGTACACGCTAAATGCTCCATGAGTGCACACGCACACTACAGTAATGCCTTACGGATTGCTCGGACCACACTCCCCGCACCCCGCGCGACCGGGACCAGACATTGCTGGGGCGCGGCCTAGTCGATGAAACAATCTATACCTAAAGTCGGTCGCTTGTTGTTGATGTTGACCTTAGTTTTAATATCTTTTAGGACAAAAAGGATTAATTTCTGTACTGTATGTGAAGATACATACCAGCTAGTTTCCTCTGTATCCTGGCCTGCAGTTCAGCTATCTTCCTCTGCTTTTCAAGCTCTTCAGCCGATATTGGAGTCACTGAAAAAAATTCCAATGGTTACAATCTTTGCTTTATCATCAGGTCATTTAGTGCCCACTGCAAGAAAATAACCCTCTCTGATCTAATTCACAAGGTGAACCGACGACCTTATATGGTGCTGGATGCAGGCCGCTACCAACCGATGTGGAAGTCATTGGGGGAGGCCTATGTTCAGCAGTGGACGTCCTGTGGCTGAAATGACGACGATGAAGGGAGTATAACCGTAACGTAAACCCTCGCCTGAGTTGACAGCTCGCGAAAGGCGATACGGTGTTGATCCCTTTCAGAGTTGATAAGCTCCTTTACGATCACAGACTGGAATATATCATAGGCTTACCTATGATATATTCCACTTGTTGAACTACACATAGACAGACTAAATAACTTGATAGTAATTATAAATAAATTGTGGGATACGAAGGATCGACCACAATAAGGAAGTTAAGGTGTTAGTGCTTACTTCCGAGCGGGTGTTGTGCTTGAGGACCAAGGTCCAATTTACACCATTTCCGACACCGCGAGGCAGGATTGTACGCGCGGTGGTGTATGCCATAGTGAAGTCGTAACAGCGCCATCTATTGGTACACTAGTTAGTAGTGGCGTATCGTAGATGTCGCCACAGAAATAGTATGTAGTTATGAGGGGTCAAAAGTGGCTCCAAATCGTTCGTGTAATATTAACACAGTGCTGCTCGCCAGTTCTGTTACTTGAACTTGGCTTGTCACGCTACTGCGTGTCTATATCCAAAAGACAGGACTACCTAGTTTGGGGACTACTAAAGCCCAGTCTGTGAGCACGTAGAATTTTGTCCAATGACCCCAAGCGCGTCGCACTCGCACACTCACTGCGGGCGCCCGTCGCACAGTCGCGACAGCAACATAATTACGCGCGAGCGATAAGGATGGGTAGCTTGGGGTCATTGGACAAAATTCTACGTGCTCCAGACCGCGCTTTAGTAAGTCAACTGAAATCCTATTAGTATACCTACGTAACTAAAGTGTATTTTTTTTTAAATATTCTTTATTCTTATATGACAGTAGCATGGCTTACCAGGTTTAGAATAAAGCATGGGTTTAATAACGCTCGGCGGTGGGATGGCGTTCTGCTGTTGCATCTGAACCTTAATCTGCTGCGCGGTCTGCGCCGCGGTCGTCACGTTCTGTTTCTCGCCTTTAAGCGCGACGAGCGCGCGTTTACGCTCTTCGATCTCTTTTTGTGCGTTGGCCATCATTAGCTGGAAGGAAACTGGATATTAATGGAGTTTCTTTTCATTTATAGCTCAGAGGTGGAATTTTGTAAAGCAATCGTTATCATTTGTTCTTGGTAATCGGTATCAAGTTCTTGAGTGGCGACCACGAGCTGGAAGACGTAGCGTGGGCAGGCCTCCCACTAGGTGGACCGACGATCTGGTGAAGGTCGCGGGAAGTACCTGGATGCAAGCGGCGCAGGACCGGTCTTTGTGGAAATCCTTGGGGGAGGCCTTTGTCCAGCAGTGGACGTCTTTCGGCTGAAACGAACGAACGAACGAACGTTATCATTTGACAGTTCATTACGTACGATTATTCTGTCAAACGCTTTGTTTAACTGACTTTAGTTAGTTAGTTAGTTTTGCAGGGCAATCGAATACCGCACTTAGCCTCATGATTGGGCCATTGTGCGCGATTTGTGGTTTATCTTCCTACTCCAACCACCCCAGATCCCCCCAGAAGGCGAGCAGCCCGTCTAGGCTGCTGCAGGCCTCCTGTAGCGACGATGGTGATCGAAGAAATTGAGCCCGTTGTTCTTCCACGCTACTGCACTCCATGAGCACATGCTGCGGTGTTTCCTCTGCCTCCATGCACCCCCTGCATTAACTGACTTTATCGTACGTTATGAACTGTCAAATGATTACGATTGCTTTACACAATTCCACCTCTGATTGGGGCCTTTCAGTTATTACGTAAGACGATTTAGAGGAGGAGGGGGGTCGACCATGTCTTATTTTTTCTTAAAAGAAAGCTCCTTCCTTTCTTTTAAGAAAAATTAAGACATGGTCTTGATAGATCTTACGTAAGATCACAAAAATGCGCAAAGTTAATATAATACTTTGAAAAAGCGCTGGCAACCGCGAGAATGCAGAATTTTCCTTGGATGCGTATAGGTGAACGATTTCTATTTCCATGGCAAAGGACTTTTTCTTTTCCGTCTCAACAAAATCAAATTAAAGACAGCGTTTAGCAATGTTTTAGGAACAATAAATAAGTAAAAGGATAAACTAACCTTGATCCTGTCAGCGCTTAACACAGCAATCTTAGACCCAACGGTCTCTCCTTCCGGCAAAGCCGCTGGCAGCGGTAACGTCTCAATACCGTTCCCTATTTTTTTATCTTTTTCCTTGTCTTTCTCCTCATGCCTATCCTTGTCTCTGTCTTCATGCTTGTCTCTATCATCATGACGGTCTTTCTCTTTGTCATCGTGTCTGGATTTCTTCGAGTCCTTCTCACGTTCAGGCTCGTGTTTTCGTTTGTGACTTTTTGACGATGAGACTAGTTCTTGAGCGAGTGCGAGCACTTTGTCGGCTAGTTTGCTCGCTTTCTTCGAGTCGATGTGAGAGGATATCTTGTCTATAATCTTGCGACGCTCATAGCTATAAATAAGTTAAATAAAATTAACACTTTTGTTAGCAATTTTAAATATTACAAGGAGACAAACTGATTCAAAACATATTTGTTATAATAACGCTTTTTAATTTTTAGTTGTAAGTATAGTGTTCTGCCTTTTCAATATTAAATTAGCAGTGAAATCTTTTAGGCTTATTAAGTAAAACTTATTTTCATATGCTATCTGTACTAAACTGCTATCATAACTGCTATGTTTTTCAATTACAGAAAATAAATAAATTTACACATGCATTTGGTTTGAAACATTTCTATCTAGATTACTGGTATTAATTTTTAACACATACAAATATATTTATTTCAATATATAAATAAGATTAGCATGGGTTACCTACACTGTACACATTATTTGTCATTTGTTTGAAATAGTCATAGCTGGGCACCGTTAATCAAATAGTTAACTTCGTTAATCGTTAAACCGTTAATAAAAAAATTAACTTCGTTAAACGTTAAAACGTTACATTTAGTAAGATTTAACGCAAGTTAACGTTAATCGTTAATCCGTTAACACCATGTTTAAAACGAAAAAGTAATTATATGCAAGGTTCAAATCATTTCGAAAGCAAATCAGCTTTTATGGTATAACGTAAGCCTAACTTTTACGGTGGCTTTTTCTGTATATTTGTTACGGTTAATGTGATGAATTGAAAATTATGAATAATCTCCGGTTATTATGAATAATTACCGACAGGCGAAGTGAAAGTGATATTCATTCATCGATTATCAGTGATTATTTCATAATGTATCCTTAGTACCAACGAATATCATAAAATAGAACACCGGCTCGTGTACAGCGCTCATGTACAGCCTCACACTTTAAACGTTTTGATATCATATTTTAATATAATTTGGCAAAATGAGTTTGGACTGTTTCTTGCGTAACATTACCATAATGCCTATAACACATTGTTTTGATTTAAAGTGAATAATAGGTTAAAGTGCGGCGGGGGTGGCCCTAGCCGCCTATTTAATTTTATACACACATAAATGATCTCATATTAATCACATTTACCAAATCATGTGGTAATTATTCATAATAACCGGCGATTATTCATAATTTTCACATTTATCACTTTAACCGTAACATATTCAATAGACTGTAATTCTTCTTACGTTATAGGTACCATAAATTCTGATTTTTATGTATAATATTTGGGCAATGATTAGAAGTTCATCAGCCGCACAGTTTTGACAGTTCCAACTCCTTGCCAGACAGTTTTTTTAGGATAGGTGCCAAAGCAACGATGACCCAAACTTCATAATCCACCAACATTCTAACCTGTATTGGGAGCATACGCTGACAAATTTTCAGCTTTTATAAAATGACGTAGGTCTGGCCTTCACCAGCTCTTAGTCTATAGTATCTCAATCTCAGAGCCTTGGTTTAATTACAATACAATTTAGCACCAAAGTGCTCGAAAAGACAAATCCAACGAACCCAAATTAGATGCGATGCCGCTGTTTCATTTAGGAGTTCCTATGCCCACCTCCTGACTCCATCATCAGACCAGCTTAATGGTACCATAACATTGCATTTTCATCGTACTTACATAAGTGTACCAAAATTCAGCTCTATCGGTTGAGAACTGGTCTTAAAATCAGTTGCAAGATTTGTCCCACACATACTAACAAACCCAAACTAAACTGTTGGCTTTAAAAATCTAGTAAAATTCGTAAAGATACTGCTTTTCATGAACTTTCAAGGAAAACTGTAGCGGTTAAGATACATCAGTTAGATTAAGAGTAATAGTCATTTAACTCATGTATTATAAAATTCCTTAACTAGTGAAAATTCCTTAGAAGAAAATATTAAAAGTGACTTTAGATGAAGTAATTGCTTGCTTCTGAAATATATTGTGTTAATGACGGACAACTACGGAACCCTACACTGCGCGTGGCACGACACGCACTTGGCTAATTTTTATTCTAGTGTTTTTCAGCGTGCCTGCTGTATCTTTTTGGTAAATAGTAGGTACTGGATTAACGATTAACGGACTTAGGATAATTTAACGGAAGTTAACGAGTCCGTTAACATTTTTTAAAGTTAACTTAAAAGTTAATCCGTTAATAGAAATGTTAACTTCGTTAATTAACGATTAACGGATTAACGAGTTAATGCCCAGCTATGTTCGTGACACCAAAGTGGCCAAATACAACACTAAGCCTGAGTTGCACCACCTAACCTTGACCATACCTATGACGATAACCGGTGTTTTTGTATGGAGTTTGACAGATTTTTAACGTTTGTCAAAGTTAAAGTAAGATGGTGCAACTTAGCCTAAGAACCATATTCCAATTGTAACAAAAACGTGTTGCGAACTTTTTGGCTACTTTGGGTGTCACAAGTTATTTAACGCTAACTTTACTAGAGTCAATTCTAATTCAAGTTTAATTGGTAAAAAAGGGTCGCTATGAATTACAATTTCCTGAACCTAATATCATGTGCTTCTAGATAATTAGCTAGCTTATTTAATAAATAATGTTATCTCCCATTGTCAACAGCTGTCATCGAGCGCCAAGATTGACCGGTGGTTCTCTCTTCTGCCCTCCAACGCACCCGCTCTCTCCAGGCCAGAGAGCGGGTTCGTGTCGGGGGTCGACGACGCCGCCGACGCCGCCACGTGGGCCGAGGTCCGAAGATTCCTCCTCCAGCTCGGCACCAAGAAGAAAAGACGCTTCCTCCCCATCCGGTTCACTAGGAAAAAAACTATCACCAACAAACACACTTTACTATAATGATCAAAGTAGATAATACGTGGGCGCTGTTCAATTATATTTGGACCAATTTTTTTCTTTGAAGATTAGGACTTTGAGCGTTTTTGTTGGATCGGATAGATGATTGACAGACCAATTCTTCTAACGTTTGACTTTGAGCTGCGACAATTTATGGGCTAATTCTTATATAAAGGGAATTTATTCAGTCACCACATTTACTAGGAAATCCGAATACTTATAAAATGACTACAGACAGATACAAATATTGGTGTATTCGAAAGTATATAACGACATCAGAAGGCGAGCATGACAAGTAGGTACTCATACGAGTACGTACTAGTACCTACTAGTAACAAAATGATTCTAAATTTAGTTTTCCGGTGTTCAATCCGAGGATGAAGCCAATAATAAATTCACACCATATCGTTCAGTTAGTAGTCGTTTAAGCGAAGTCGGTGTATCAACTTCGCTTGAACGGACACTCTCGGGCATGACTTGAATGTCTTTCCCATTATTACTCGACTATGTGTACCACACTACGTTACTAAACAGCTGTACAAGGAGTCAAGGACATACCTAAATAAAATTAGTGTAATCATTCAAACCCATGTCAACAGTCAGTATTGCTTTGTAAAACTTTTTAAAACTGCCTAATATTTGGTTTCGTTTTCGGTTTTTTTTAAACTTTTACAGACTTTTCACTGATTTTAGCTCTAAAAACTAAAATCTTCAAAAGTTATAATGCCAAGCAAGTGAAATTGATTTGGTACTTCTAATCTAAGTTGATAATTGTATTAATATTCGGCATGTGCAAATATTATGTTGACAGTCGATAGGTATTTTAGGATTTCAACATTATGACTGAACAGGTGGCCATTGACTAGTAAGTAAATGAAATAAAGTAAAAGTTAATTGGTATGTTTAGCATTGTGATTTTAGGGCACCAACTTGATGAGACTAAATTAAATCAATCTTTTTGGTTGAGACAGCGCCCCTATTTTGACTGTAGTGCAATTCTGTAATGTCAAATTTAGTTTAAATGGTAGGTACATAATGTATTCTTGAATAATTTTAATGGAATTAGGATATAAATTGAGCTGTTTACGTTTAAGGGTTCATTTGTTGTTGACCTTTTACAGAAATAACACTAAAATCTCGTTAATTAAATACAATATGAAAACGGTTTTCCTTGAAATTTAAAGACATTCATCTAATTTTCTACTCGATGAGATTTTCGTTCGTCACCAAAGACGGCAAACCAGTTTATCACCAAGGGACCCTTATAGAACAAGTTTTCGTATGATCTTATATATCACGTATGTAGAGTAAATAAGTATCTAATTCAAAATTATATTTGCTTGTGGTGTGTAATATTATGAATGCATTTATTTTCTCGATATTTTAGTGACATTACTTATTATTATGTAGCTGAAAATGTATTGTTGTAAGTTGTTTATGATGTTCAATTGTTCATTATGAAGTAGAGAGATCAATTTATTTCTATCAGCATAGGTGTGTGCTATGCTAACACTAAGTTTAAACATCTACATCTCTTTGAAAAGTGTAGGATAAAAATGAATCTAAGCAGTAAAGCTTAAAAAGTTAGCTGTCGTGTTTTATTTTGTTATTTAAATCTAATGTTGATTAAGAACACAAATTCAATGCATTTCTAAGCTATATTTAACTATAAACGCGGACCAATATCGCGATCTAGTTATAAGTTTGTTTAGTAGTTCTAAGTTACAATTACATACAGCGACCAAATATTTTAACGAAAATATTTAAACTGGTCTAATAAAACCTCTGCTTGGGGTTAATTAGTGATAAGTAGGTACTTAATTTTACACACTTAAGTATACAGGGTGGAAACGATAAGTGATCTCACTCGATTTTTTCTAAACTATACAAGATATCAAAAAACTAGTTACAGATCCTGAAAGAGCTTCATGAGCTCTATACAACGGTACTAATATTAGGTTACATAATAAACTGGATCTATCCGAAAATTCAATGTTTCCAGTTTCCATACATTTGGTAAAATCACATTATTTTAAAAACTACACATGATATCGTAAAACTGATAACTGATTCTAAAAGTGCTTTACAAGCTCTATCCAATGGTATCAATAATAGGTTACAGAATAAACTGGATCTATCCAAAAATTCAATGTTTCCTTCTTCCATGCATTTAGTACTACCACAGTCATGACATTCATCTCTTGACAATATTGTAGCAAGTAAAGCCTAAAACCATTGTTTTCTATAATTATGTTTAAATAAGAATACAATTTAAGAGTTGATTTTAAGAGTTTATTATTAAATAAAAAAAATACACTTCTAATATTGTTTGTCTGGCATACATTTAGTATGGAAGCTGGAAACATTTAATTTTCAGATAGATTCAGTTTATTCTGTAACCTATTATTGGTACCGTTTTAAAGAGCTCATTAAGCACTTTCAGGATCAGTAACCAGTTTTTCAATATCTTGTATAGTTTAGAAATAATTGAGTGAGATCACTTAACGTTTCCACCCTGTATAGTTTAATACTATTTGAGGAACATCAATTGCGTCTAACTAACAATCAGATTCAAGTAAAATGAGCTAATGGTTTAACTGTGATTTTTAAACCAATGGTTTTTCCCTGCATTCTCCCAATTCATAACTCGTTAACATAGCTGGGCACCGTTAATCAAATAGTTAACTTCGTTAATCGTTAAATCGTTAATAAAAAAAATTAACTTCGTTAAACGTTAAAACGTTACATTTAGTAAGATTTAACGCAAGTTAACGTTAATCGTTAATCCGTTAACACATGTTTAAAACGAAAAAAGTAATTGTATGCAAGGTTCAAATCATTTCGAAAGCAAATCAGCTTTTATGGTATAACGTAAGTCTAACTTTTACGGTGGCTTTTTCTTTATATTCAATGGACTGTAATTCTACTTACGTTATAGGTACCATAAATTCAGATTTTTATGTATAATATTTGGGCAATGATTAGAAGTTCATCAGCCACACAGTTTTGACAGTTCCAACTCCTTGCCAGACAGTTTATTTAGGATAGCTGCCAAAACAACGATGACCCAAACTTCATAATCCACCAAGATTCTAACCTGTATTGGGAGCATACGCTGACAAACTTTCAGCTTTTATAAAATGGCGTAGGTCTGGCCTTCACCAGCTCTTAGTCTATAGTATCTCAATCTCAGAGCCTTGGTTTAATTACAATACAATTTAGCACCAAAGTGCTCGAAAAGACAAATCCAACAAACCCAAACTCGATAAGTTTCCACCGTTTCGTTTAGGAATTCCTATGGCCACTTCCTGACTCCATCATCAGGACCCTGGACATCACCTAGTACTAAAGTGCTCGAAAAGACAAATCCAACGAACCCAAATTAGATGCGATGCCGCCGTTTCATTTAGGAGTTCCTATGCCCACCTCCTGACTCCATCATCAGACCAGCTTCCTAACATTGCATTTTCATCGTACTTACATAAGTGTACCAAATTTCAGCTCTATCGGTTGAGAACTGGTCTTATTTGTCCCACACATACTAACAAGTGAAGTCAATATAAAGCTTGTAAATAAATAAAAAAATTGCATTTTTATATCGTTTCGTTCTGGTTCCAAAAACTGTTGTTTTGGGTTCTGGAAGTTCTGGAAGATCGAACATACCAGAACGCGTTTTTAGGGTTCCGTAGTCCTGACAAGTTTCGATATGTCTATCTGTCTATCCGAGGTTTTGCTTGGAAACTATTGTCACTTGAGAGCTGTAATTTTGTGGAGGTATGTATATCTTCTTCTTTTCGTGTCGAGAACAAACCTACACAGTGTCAGCCCAAAACTCCGTATGTATATTAATCACGCCGACACGTGCAAACCTCTTCAGTGAGTGTTCTTTTGCGCTTTCTAGATTTGCTGATGGTATCGACGTTAGAGGTCTTCCAATAAGAAAGTGCCCCGGAGTTAGGGAAAGGAGGTCATTGGGAGATGATGATAGAGGATACAAAGGACGACTGTTTAATATCGACTCTATTTGGGCAAACAAGGTTGTGATTTCCTCAAATGTGAGGTGACTATTACCGATTACACGTTTTGCATGATATTTTGCAGCTTTTACCCCGGCCTCCCAGATGCCGCCAAAGTGAGGAGCGTAAGTTGGAGTAAAAATGAATTTAATACCTTCTTGACTTGCAAAGCCAGATAGAGGCTAATGTTGGCATTTCATCTAGCGTGGTTCGAAACTCCTCCCATTTCAAAAGCGTTTGACCATCCAACTTGGAAGTCATCATGTATATGATCAGTGTATCCCACTTGTCCGTTGGCTGGCCTAGGCTGCTCAACGCGCGCAAATTTTTTGTTACGTGATCAACCAAAAAACGTAAAGATTTTTCTGATTCTGTATTTTGTTTATGTATGTTAAATAGTGAACCAAGATGCTGATTTATTAGAAATCTTTTGTTATTGTAGCGGTCGCNACCGTGCCCCCAGATTTGTTCCTATATCTCAGATAAAAGGTATTTCACTAAATTACCGTATTCTCTCAAGTTTTATCTCAATCATATCTAATTTAGTAGTAGGTAGCTAATTAAAAAGTGAGCCTCAGTTAAGTATTTAATGGAGTAGATAAGTGCCATAATTGTTCATTAGTTTCTCTTCAGACAAAGCTTGGGTGCTAAGCTCAATTGCGTAAGGTATTCTAGACATTTCTAATAAACCCCTAATTTATTACAACTGGTAGATGTTAACTTGCAATAACTAGTATACATGGTGACTTTGAAATCGTTGGCATCCTTTTAATATAAGACTCTGCTCATGATACATAGTACATTCCCCAAATATGAGACAAATCCAACGAGATTTTTGTCATTATATTTACTATGTATTCGTATTAGTGTGCTCTTATAGAGTTTAAAACTTTTGCACAGTCAACAGCACCTCAGCCTATACATTTTATTGCAAAATAACACTTAATACATCGAAATAAGATGCTACAGCATTAAAATTGTTGTGTTGTCGTCTGTACACGATTTTAAACATTAAAATTTTAACTCATTGGATTTGTCTCCTATTTGGGGAATGTACTATGTATTATGAGTAGAGTTTTATTTCAAAAGGAAGCCAACGATTTCAAAGTCACCCTGTATACATATAAACTATGTATTTCGTACTTCTTGTTTCCTATACATAGTATCGTAATCATTATCATATAACCTACATTAAATAAGACGCAGCTTTCAATAATTGCATTAATATGTGCATTTTTTTTAATTTTGCCATTCTACGGTAATAAATAAAGGAATTAATAAGTGGAATAGTTTGATGACGAACTATGAAACCTAGAAAGGAAACCTACCTAGCAACTGGGTCTCATTTGTACATTTTCTGATTGTCATTGAAGATTTACATGCTGTTGAGTTTAATCAAACTCAAGATAAATCATTTACAACTGCAAGTAATTATTTTATTATTTTATTTTATTTATTTATATTAGGGAAACAAACAATTTTGATATACAATTATAATAAGGTATTATCAAATATCCGTTTTAAAATTATCATCAGCATGTATGTAGGTACTGTTCCTTCAGATCTCAAGTAGAAATTCAAAATCTCTTATTGAATACCTAGGTACCTTTGTACTTAGTCACCTTTGTTTGACTACTTAAACTTTACTTATAACTCCCACACAAAGAATCACTTTCACAGCAATGTGGCATTGTTAATTAACTATAATTATATAGAGAGACAATTTTATTCATTTGGACTAAAAGTTACTTTAGTTAAGAGATGTCTCTATTAAGTATCTATTACCTAAAATTATATTCTACTTAAAATTTAATTTGGAAAAGCTTTTAAGGACTGACTGATTTAATTATATTTTTGTGTTCCGTAGAATACTATTACGAGTTGCGTAAGATAAGTCTAGTTTCATAATTTGTATTAACTACTGCATTAATATGTGAATAAACTTTTATTCTTAACTTGTTTTTGTTGATTAATTCCTTAACCTGTTTTAGTGTAAGCGCTACACAAATGAGGTAAGCATAACATATTAGTCATCATCAATCCCAATCCTAAGGCATAAATATGGTAGGTATTTTGCTCGTTTGTCTCTGACAAGAAAAGGTTTCAGGAATTACCTATACTAACGTAAAACAAATAAGTAAATAGTGCAAATAAATGTACACTTGTCTTAAAATGAAAGCTTTACCTATCAATGCAATTAAATAACAACGAAACTATTTTTACTTTAAAATTCTTACTCTGAAGTAGGTACCTACTTACTTCACGCTAATCATTATTATCATGAAATGTTTGCGGTTTTCAAGGTTTGACGACAAGAAAAAAGAAACGAGAGAGATATCCAAAATCTTTCAAATATCGAATCTCGTGTTGCACTTTTTCATTTTACTTACTTATGAATCTACTCGTACCTACTTACTTACATTTTGGAGGATATCTATGCAAATATTAAAGTGAAATAACTTTTTTGTTCAGGATTAAGATTAACAGCTTTTAAGAGTTAAATCAACAAAATCTACCAAGGTAGAGCAAAAAATCCAATGCTAAAAAGTTAAAAAAATATTTTAAAACATGTTTTCTCAAGTGGATGAGTAGACTTCACGTAGATGATGATAGATGATCAGATTTGATACCCTTTAGTTGAAAATAGAATGATGTAAGCAGGTCCCAGAAAATGGATTCATTTAACTGGATTATCTATAAAGGTGAAGGTAAAGTTGTTAGTAAAATATACGTATGAATCCTGTTAAGATGGACTTTACGCAACCGTTAAATATAAGTCGTCTATTCATATTGTAGGACTCCGCTAGGCCTTGAGAACCTGTCAGTAAATGTTTATAACTCGGAATTATAATTGGTAATACACGTAGAGCAAACAACGTCCACATGTAACCTCGCGCGAACAAAATGTTTGGTTTCCACATTTTGATCACGGTTTTTAAAGAGAGAGATTTAGAAGCAATTTATGTATTTAATATGAATTCTACATCTGGTATTTTGTGGTTTATCCAAAGACCAGCTCAGAACCCGCCCTTAGTTCTTTATTCAATGCAGTAAAATAATATATTTTATCATGCTGATACTATCAACAACTCCAATATTATAGGATAGCCTTAAAGCTTTTATTTCTCTGCAGAACACGAGCCAAGCCCCGTCACAGCCATTTTAGCTGTTTAAAGAACCTATTTTTCTTAAAAAAAGAACTTATTTCTCTTAAAAAAAGAACCTACGCAAACGCAAATATTCAAAGACTGCTCGCCACAAACTGCTTTGTTGACGTTGAATTTTTGGAAGCAGCAAGCAGCTGGCTTTGCTGCTTAGCTTTTGCTTGATTGTAAGAGCTCTATGTTTGATTGTTGTGAAATCAGCATTCAGTTGTAAGAATTTGTTTATAATTTTGAGAAAGGTTATTTAGAAAAATCTTTCAGGAACTCGCGTCGCCTTGACCACCTCACGCTCTATAGATGATTTAGCGTCGGGGATTTAATACAACAAAGTTAGTTTATTCGCTATATTCCATGAACAAAACTTGGACTGTTCAAATTAGTCGTATGTACCTACTCGTACATTAAGCAGTCATCATAACAAATTGGCTAATAGGTTACATTGTTAGCAACCATTTCGTGGAAGGACGAAATATTTATTACACAGCAATTTGAGCGCCAACTGAACAAAAAATGAGCTTGTTTGTCAGGATTCAATTATTTTTCTTATTGTTTGCTCTTGTCGTCTATAATTACCACTTATTTGCTGTTTGCTTGGAAACTGTAGGTTCTTATATATATAAAGTAATTCATAGTGGGCTGTTAACTGGAGGTCACATTTTTCAGTCCAATAGGCAACTGATGATGTGGTAGAGCAAAATAATGTATTAGTTCTTGCAAGTCGCACGAAGGCGAGTGAGCTATACTTGTGTATATGTACGTGTACAGGCACATAACGATAGTGTAATGTCTGTCAAAACTTTTGAGAAACGAACTGTAGGGAGCCACCACACATGTAAGGCTCACTCGCCTTAGCTTCGCCTTCGTGGATTGCAACAACTATACACAAAATGGTTCTCTTTAAGTTACACGAATATTTACCTTGATCACCCTCTCACCCATAAGAATAACCATTGTCACCACAATGGTTATTCTTATTTATAAAAAAATATAAACAGAACCTTTGCGAATTTCATATGAATTTCTTTTGTTATTACCTCTAAGTCAGATGAAATCTTCCATTAGCCTCTCATGAATCAGGGTCAATAATTCAATATCAATATAGGGTCTTCTCTTGCAGCTGATGATGATATATGTAGTTATAAAACATCATTTACCTATTGCTAATCTGTCCCATAAAGAAATGGAAAGTTGGAAACCTATGTATGAGTAGGTAAGGTATCTAAATGTACCTATGTAAGCCTATATAAAAATCGTTATGGTACTTATGTAAGTAGGTATAATTTCATTTATAATAGGCACTTATTAATTTAGTGCTATCCATACGCTTCAAGCAAAAAATATAATATTGTTTACAGAAAAAATAGACTCAAAAGGTTATGATTGTGATATTTTGAGCCATGAATAAGCCATCTTGCCTGAGTCAGAAAAAGATGCTTGACCCCTATGTCCTCATTCGTTTAAGCCATTATATTCGTTAAAGATGACGTAAGTAAATAGCTGCATTTATATAGCGAAAGTTGATCGTGAGTATTGGGACCATGGGCATGTTAGTGTGCGCGAGATTTGATTCAGAAATGTTGCCAGACCAGAGAATCTTAGAAGGTACTATTTGTGTAAGGAAATTAGTGTACACAGAGATTATTACAGTTATCTACCATCAACATACTCGTACCAGTCCAACATAATGAGGATTAACCCAGCATATGCAATAGATAGTCTGTAAGAACTAGTTACTCCTAGATATTTAATATAGGAAAATTATCCATATTATCCCTGGATAATTTTCCTATATTATATATCTAGGAGTAACTAGTAAGCCGTCATTAATGAAAACCTTAGGCAAGCATCTTAGAAATGCAAAAATAATTTTGACTAATGCAAAACCTACGCGATACACCATGAAAACTATGCTCGTAACAAGTGCCCTAAACATATCAAAGCAAATAATAACTCTAGGCAAATGTAAAGAAAATTACGTCCCGCTGTTTGACGATGTCTTTAATAAAATTGTAGCGCTGTATATGAAAGAAATGCTCTCTTGATGAAAAGTAAAATATAGAAATGAAATAACTTTTAAAAATTAAATTTTTGTGACCAACGTGGACATAATATGTGACGTTATAGATTAGAAAATTACCATTCAAGATTGGCTCATGTTCAAAAATCCACGTCACTACCGACCGATCATTCATGTAAGTAGTACGACAGGTATTCTGGCAATACCGTTCTCCACATCAGTTTCCCGCCGCTGAATCAACAGCGCACACGCATGCGGGCACGCACGGCTACATCGAAAAAGTACATGCGTGGAACGCTCCGCCAACCGCGCTTTTACCGTTCCAAACTACATATGTGTTCAATAATCCCCATTGTGTATTCAACAAAGCTGGTTTAAAGTGAGTACTTAGCTGCATGCGAGTTTATTATCACTTATTTATAATCGAGATAGAGTTCAACAAGTTCAAAATATCCTTATTGACGTTCGCGACCGTCTTGACCTAGTATAAATGCAGAAAGATAAGTGCGATGTGTATCATATTACATTTTATTAATGTATGTCATACTTACCTACCTAGTACGTAGAGTGGTACTTATAGAAATGAAGGTAAGTTCCTGTTTAAAAATAGGAGGTAATCGATAAATTGAACTGAATTTTGGTTGTCAATTGTTACTCGATAACGTAAAAAACATATTTGGGTATTTCTCAAATCGTTTTTTATTTAGTAAGTCCAACATATCTCACACAATTCATCAATTTAATTACCTTATATTAGGTTCTACTCTTTATCCAATTGGTTAATATTGTTGAGGTATTTGTGTACAACCTTATTATAATAACATCCAGCACGCAGGTGTTCTAAAGCATTTGAACATTATACATATAGATTATTCTATAATATCAATAACACGAGACAAAACGTTTGCTTCGGTACCTGAGTAGGTTATTATAGATGACAATAGAAGCAATTTGTCGATATGTGTATTACTAAACCTGCAGTATTGTGGAATAATAGCCTACATAGGTATTATGTTACATTGTCGTGTGTGACAACTACATACGTGTTAGTTACGGTAGATAACTGTCTACCTGTCGATTAAGCAAGAAAAATTGCACGTTTCAAATTATCTAAGTAAAATAATTTCACTCCGTCAGTTATCCACGACACGTGACTATCATGCACACATGCATATTAAAAACATACGGGTCGAATTGAGAACCTCCTCCTTTTTTTGAAGTCGGTTGAAATGTATGTTGAAAACTCACATTTGATATGGCTGACTTCTCAAATGAATTCGTTCATATTTACAATAAGTGCTTTGCAGCTTTCTTTCATATGAAAATAAATGTACTTATGTAAATATTTAGCCCCGATACATGGAAAACCTCATTCGTAGTCCCTGTTAGTAGAAAATTTCTAGGCTTGAGTTGCACCACCTTAGCTTTAACCGTAACTATAGCTTCGTGTCACAAGAGCACTTCCCTTTGAGTGACGTCATCAGCAAAGCCATACATCATCACCCACCCATGTTCCTTTCACGTTAGAACCATGAATCTTGATGACTTTGGCCTTAGTCGTATTTCAGTAGTTCCCTGCCTACACTCACGGGGTTAAGTCATGGAATGCAAATAGCATCAGTATTTAATTTTTCGCCCTCAACACCCCAGAACACGAGGCTGGTGACGCAAATTAATTAACAATTTAATCTCATTATGAATTGGCTTTGAACTTACGAACTTAGACAATACATGATGATACTGATTGCTAAATTGATATTATAATAAAACCAGTCATCTACTCAAAAATTTTAACATATAACAGTTAAACTATCAGTCACAAAGCTTGACTGTTACAGTTTATTATTATGTGTTTCAGAAAGAGTTTGCTAAAAATCTAGCACTCAATTACCTTATTAATTTGTATAATAGCGTTAAAAATGCAAGCTCCCATATCTCAATTATATTTAGTTTTAACTAAGTACCTATTGCAAATAAAAACAGATTGCAAGGACAGCATCATCGATAAAGATAAAATCGATCGATAAGTAACGAATATAGTGACAAATTAACAAAAAGTTGATAGATTACAGCCATCCATTACGATAAAACTTAAGTGGATCGATGATGATAGATTTGACATGAAGATTCATCTGAGATTTTATTAGTCATGCAACTGTTCACGCATATAATCTAACATAACAAAGACAACGCCTACACATGTTATCAATATTGGTCCGAAATTTTCATTTATCACCTTAATTTTCCAACTTTACTAATAACATAGTATTGACCTTTTTCATTCTACCTTAGCATTAATAATTTAAAATAAAGGATCAGGTGGGTAACATTCATATTAATACGGTAAAGTAACTTAGGATCTACAACAAAACGAAACACAAAACTTTTAAAGTCTTTTTTTTTTCATGACATCACAAATCACATGACAAATCTTTGTTTTCGATTGCATCGAGTTTAGTGCATTTATTATTAATAAATACTGGCCACAAGTAGGTGTAAACTGTAGGTACTATCTTAAAATACGCTTCTAATATTTTGTTTTGGTTTTATGAGTAGGTAGGTCTTTTAGGTCTATTGTATCTGTATATACTTTTAGATGCCGTAAATTTTTTTAGTAAGTAATTGGAAATCATGACGTTACTAAAAGCCCAGAGATGCATTAAAATGCAGTCGATAAAAAATGAATTTGTATCTTTTTTTATTTGCTTCCGCTTCCGGCTAATGTTTATTTCAATTCGAATGCAGTGATAGGATTTTATTTTATGGTTTATTTATAATTATACAGGGTGTTTCTTGTAAGGTGTCAAGCCGAAGGCAGGTGATAGGTGAGGACTAGACCTATCGATTTCACCCCCATGTATGTTTTACGATTTTTCATAGTTTAGAAGTTATCTTTAATTTTGTGATTTTTTCAAATTGTATGACCTAGTAGGCTTTAAATTTTTTNTGTATAGTTCATTTATGTATTTTAATTTGCTCGTAATGTCTTCACTCTCGTAATAAAATTGAAACTTCAGGGAGTAAAGTAGTTAATTGATTGATTAGTTAATTATAAACGCGACAGTGCTCAACCAGAAGTAATGCGGATGTGCGACTCATTGTCACATCACAACACAACAGATGGTCCGATGGTGAACACAGTAATTACTAAAAGAAGCCATGGCAGGGGCCAATTTGTGTCGTAAATGTACTTACCTACCCGATTATGCCTTTAAGTAGACTCTAGATAGATCCATTCATTAACGTCTGTTTTGAAAAATACCCACAAAAAATCGACTTACATTATGGGTACTTTAATTTTCAACCGACTTCAAAAAAAGGAGGAGGTTCTCAATTCGAGCCGTATGTTTTTTTTTCTATGTTTGTTACGCGATAACTCCGCCAATTATTATGAACCGATTTGAACAAATCTTTTTTCGGCGTATAGGTAATACCTCAAGGGTGGTCCCATTTAAATTTAATAATAAAAAAAACAACCCCCAAGGTTGGAAAATTGGGGATGAACTTTTTATACGCAATATCTCCGCCGATTATAAACCAATTTGAACGATTATTTTTTTGTTGAATAGGTATTATCAAAAGGGTAGTTTCATGCGAATTTGAAGAAAATATTTCACCCCCAAGGGTGGAAAATTGGGGATGAACTTTTTTATACGCAATATCTCCGCCGATTATGAACCAATTTGAACGATTATTTTTTTGTTGAATAGGTATTATTTGTGTTCACGCATTTGTAGTCGGTTTTTTTTTAAGTTATATCTAGATTTATATAAAGTCAATTTATTGAGAGCCTTGACATTAACTTTAGTTTTTATTTTTCAGCGCTATCACTCTGGCCCCCATAAACAAAAAACCAGCTGCCGGTTCCTCGGCCAAACTTGGGACCGGCAGTATAGGGAAATCTACTTCTGCAATAAGCAAAACTTCAAGCATGGGCAGTGGAGGCAAAAGTAGCAACATGATGGGCTCCAGCGGCAAGAGTGGAATGGGAACCACCGGAAAAAGTAATGTTTTTATGTCTTCAAGTCCGAAAAAAGAAACTCCAGTCATAACTAGCAGCAAAAGTATGAATGTCTTTGCATCAAACGCAAAACCCAGTAACATGGACACTGCAAAAGCTGGCAGTATGTATGGAACAACTGGCAAAAATGCCAACCTCTTTGGATCCAGTGGAAAAAATTCAAGCCCCTACGGAGGTGACAAAATTACTAAAGCAACAGGCTCAAGTGAAAAAAGTAGCAATTCATTGCTAACTAGTGCAAAAAAGACAAATATGTTAGGATCAGATGATAAAAACAATAAACCCAAGAATTTTAGCGGGACTTCCGTCAGCCCAAGCCGAGATTATCCTTCTTTTATTAACCCGAAAGACAATAAATCAAAAACTACTTTTGGAATCATATGGATACCAACCAGGAAAAATAAGAAAAAGGATTTAGTTTTTAACTCACATAAATATGAACGCTACAAAGAAAAGTCACCATCGATGTATTCTTAGTAAGTATTTATCTGGGGGCACGGCAGTGCCCCCACCAAGTCGAGCGAAAAAGCGGCACGGCCGTACCATCCTTTTCTCGAAGCAATTCAGGCCATTTTCGACCCCCTGTATCATCGTTGTGGATAAAACTAGAAGACTGAATTTTCAGTATCTATGCAGGCATTGTAAAGACACGGTATATTTCAAATTTCATTCAATTTGAACCAGTAGTTTAAGAATTATAACGGGTCAAAGTTTCTTAATTTTGTCACTCACTGACTGACTGACTGACTGACTCACCGATCATCAAAATTCTAAGGCACTTCTAGCAGACTTAGAAGCTTCAAAGGATAGTGCCAGGGTCTGGACCAAATGTTGCCCAGAATCAACCTATAGTGCATTTTGTTCCTCAGACCTATACTAATGTGTAAACTGAAGCGCACTGAAATCTATCCCTGGAGTTAAGAGAAAAAAAGAGTTTTGTTTTGAATTATTTACTTACAAAATATCATCGATGTATACGTACTACGCATTAGATTTCGCGATTATGGCATTAAATAACACTCGCTTTGTTGAACTTAACCATAATGCATCCGTAGTATCCGTACACGTTACTTTAGTGCGATTTAGACATTCTTTATAAACGATCTAGCGCTGTTTTAATTGTTTGGTAAGTTGAAAAAATTCATTATTTCCAAAATGAAGCAAGAAGTTTTAGTTTTCTATACTTGCGAAAAATCAATTTATTGGTGTATTACAATCGATTATTGAAGTTATACCTACAAGGTGGACCGACGACATCGTAAAGGTAGCAGGGAAGCGCTGGACGCAGACCGCTGCCAATCGATCAACATGGAAAGCATTGGGGGAGGCCTATGTTCAGCAGTGGACGTCATATGGCTGAAATGATGATGATGATGATGATTGAAGTTATTGTAAGCTAAAACTTCTTGCTCCATGTTGGAAATAATTAATTTTTGTCAAGTAACCAAACTAATGCAACAGCGCTTGATCGCTTATAAAGAATGTCCAAGTCGCACTAAAGTAAGGTCACAGAATAAGTAATAGTAGTAAGGTGTACGGATGCAGTATGGTTAAGTTCAACGTAGCAAGTGTTATTTAATGCCACAATTGCGAAATCTTATGCGTAGTACGTATACATCGATGATATTTTGTATGTAAATAATTCAAAACAAAAATCTTTTTTTCTCCTAACTCCAGGGATAGATTTCAGTGCGCTTCGGTTTACAAATTAGTATTGGCCTGAGGAACAAAATGCACTATGGTTTCATTCTGGGCAGCACTTGGTCCAACTTCCATACATGAATTGGCACTGTCCTTTGGAATATAAGTAGTGTTTGGTGTATGAATCAAGGAAAAACTAAAATATTTGGGGGCACGGTAGTGCAACCGCTAAGTCAAGCAAAATTTTTCAATTTCGGTCCAGTTTTATAAATTTATAACTACTTACTTTAAACTTACTTCAATAACTTTGTAATACCATATAAATATAAAGGCGCACGGTAGTGTCCCCGCCAAGTCGAGTAAAATATTTAAATTTCGGTCCAGTTTTCTAGATACATAACTGCTGTCTACAAAATACAAAAAGAAATGAGATCCCATCAAAAACAATACTTGTCAAAAAAAACAAGTCTCGCAACTCAGTTGTTCTACGGTAAAAAGTTGCGAGATCCATGTAATTATTACATTTACCGTAGAACAACTGAGTTGCGAGACTTGATTTTTTGGACAAGTATTGTTTTTGATGTCAAAAAAAAATGAAAAAACAAGTCTCGCAACTCAGTTGTTCTACGGTAAAAAGTTGTGAGATCCATGTAATTATTACATTTACCGTAGAAGAACTGAGTTGCGAGACTTGGTTTTTTTGACAAGTATTGTTTTTGATGGGATTTATTTTAACTGTTCTGAATTTCTGATCTCATACTTTAATACTTACCTAAGTAATAGGTACTTTGTAGACAACGAACGTCTAGTGGTATTTATTTCTATCTATTTCTTAATTTAAATCCAACAAAGTACATACATAATGTAGTGTGTAAGGATCGGTAACTAAAAATATTAGCGTGGGATACTTTAATGTTTAATAAGGTAGAAAGAAATCTTTGCTGCCGCGATTCAGGTTTGTAGGGCTGGAGGCGTGCTAGATAGAGTAACTTGTATCAGCGCCATCTTTTGAGTGAAACTTGCCATCAGTTTATAGTTACGAGTCGATAGGTGTCTCTACTTATTGTATGTAGTAGTTTATCAATTCATTTATTAAATTGCGCGGGAAACTAAAATTAATACGATGTATGAGCACCTCTAAAGCTGTAAGCAATATTAGATGCTAAAAAAAAGTAACTAAAATCTGGAGTCAATGTCAGTTGAGTTTCCGAACGAATATTCAAAGCAGGATGCCAAGAGCAATATGTCGTTTGAGCAAGCGAGATGCAAATATGGCAAACCCCGCGATCAGTCTGATTACTGTCATGTCAAAAAAAGAAAACAAGTAGTCAAGGAGGTGACATCATAAAAGCTGTCGTGAAGCTTTGTGTTGTGATGCATTTTTACTGTTTTTGAATAAATTTACCTCAGTATTCATTCTCAAACGTGAATTTGATTACTTAAATATTTGAACCAAGTCTCATATGTATCTAAATCTAGTGTTTTTGTTCTCATTACTGAGATCGGAGGGTATTTAAGTTGACAAAACTTGAAAAAACTTTTTGGTCACTTAATGTTTTTTACTTCAAGATGCAAGACAACAATAATTTTGAAACAATCATCAGCACATGGCGACGTTTGTCTGGAGAAAGAACTGAATCTCCCATATTAGCAAGGTGAAATTTCTTAATAACCAGCAGCAAAAGAAAATGAAATGTTGCATTTTATCGCCCATTGTTTACATTGTGTAGCTACGCGTATTGAGTTCAGAACGAAATAGGATCCCTCACTGCAACGTTTGGCATTTCGTGTTGTTAAGCCTTGAAAGTATTTCGTGTTCGTAAATCAATCTTAATTTAATATTTCAGCATGTCTGGTGATTCTCCTGCTTACCAACCACAAAAGAAGAAAGAAGAAGAAACAGATTTATTGGTACCTGAGCGCCCTAAAGTGACAACAGTGGCAGTAAACACAGGAATAACTGCAGCCAGTATTGATATTGCATCAGATGGCTCCGGGCCTGTACAACCTGAAGAAAAGCAAGAATTTATCAAACACAACCCAGAAGAAACAAAGGTAGAAACTTTGTCACTTATTTACTCTTTGATTACATATTGAATTTGAAAAGTAAAAATATGTATTAACATTTTTTTTACTTGGAAAAATGGTGAAATATTGCTTTGTTTTTTGTGAGTCATAGCCTGTATTGTTTTAGTATCTTATAAACTAATTAAGAATCCTGATAGTGCGATTGTATCAATATGCAATTTCTGAGTAATAACTGCTGATAGCAAAATTAACTGTTCCTAAAATTTTTGAACTCTGACCCTATTTTTATTCTGGTTTTACATCTCATCATTATTCTATGTAACAAAAAAATTTTTATTTGTTTTTAATACAGGAAGCTGCTGGTGACACAAATGATAGATCAAGCAAGGAGGACTGCGAGTACTTGGAAAATAATGAAAACATGGCAAAACCACCAGACAACAAATGGGATAAAGACAAACAAGTTGACAGGGTTGATAGCGTATACTTAAGAGCACCACCTCCACACAAGGTTCATTCCACTGCAACCACAAACGAAGAAGAAGATTGTGGTATCAAATGTCTTTATTATACTCTGCAATGCTGCGACTGTGTATTACAGTAAGATGCCATAGAAGGTTGACTGTGACATGTAAAGTGTTTTCAATAGTGTACAAAAAACATAAATATTTTAAAGTTAAACAGCTTTACTGACTTAGCTATTATCCAAATGTTGTTCTTGCTTTCAAACTTCCAAACAGTGGCGTAACTATACCATCTGAGGCCCATGACAAATTCTGTGCACGGGGCCCTTGGCATATCAAGGGTTATTTTTCAAGGACCATCGTGAGGGGGATGGGTACGATTAGGGCCTTGGGCCGGGGCTGCCTCAGGTCAGGATCCTGTGGCATTTTGCCAGCTCTGCCACCCTATAGTTACATCACTGCTCCCGCCCTTTAGGCAAGTTTGAAAGAGAACAATATTGTAGCAATCAAACAATCACTTTAATACTTACTTTATATCACTAATTCAGTTTTGTGAAGACAGTCAACCTCTCCTTAACCACTCAAGAGTTATGATTGATAGAAGCTTATTATGTAGCTATAATTAACAAATGTACCTATTGCAAAGCCATTGTAGCAATCAAACAATCACTTGAATACTTACTTTATATCACTAATTCAGTTTTGTGAAGACAGTCAACCTCTCCTTAACCACTCAACATGTATGATTGATAGAAGCGTAATATGTAGCTATAATTAACTAATGTATTGCAAAGCCATGGCAGCTGCTTTTTAGTTTTATTGATAAATTGCCATTATTTTCTATCATATTTAAGGATAAACTATCAATTTAAGATAGTTACTTTATGGTTTATAAACGAATTTAGCATTAATGTAGATTTCTACTTGCAACATTTACCTCTTGATTGTTTTGTTATTTTTATATCCACAGAATTAATGGCTAGTAAGGCAGGCAAATGTAGTTGGTTATACAAAAAGACAGTACATTACTATTGAATCAACTGTGTAACTTTTGATTGCACCATTAAAATTTTTGTGCGTAGTGGCATTGAAAACCTTTTTGTATAGACATTCCACGTTTATTACTTATTTTCTTCATGAGATGATTATTTGGCACAAAAATGAAACTATTACCTCAATAAAATAGACAAGTTCTAAAATGAAATTAATATCGGAAAAAGAAGTTATTTATCTAATTTCTAATACATTGTGTATTCTTAGTATTTGTGGAATATTTATGAAATATTTGTCGAAGATAAACACTAATTTCATCATTTTCAATTATTGTCATTATTACGGAATGGTGCTCAAAGATAAATGCCTTAAATTTGTCATTGGTAAGATGCCTCCCAATATAACTTGCTAAATCTTTACTTGCTGTAAATCCACTACGTTTTTTAAAATAATTTACATGTTTTTGTCTATAAAATTTATTTACATAAGACTTATTGCGTGACCAGTCTCCGTCCAGAGACTTTGTATTTTGGTAAGAAATGTAGATGTATTTTTTTATAAAAAGATCTGTACACAGTTTGTACTTTATTAAATAAAAAAATTCATAAAACAGTGTTATTTTATTTATCTACAGGGTGTTAGGTAAATGGGTATATGAGCCGACACAAGCCCATGTTAACATGGTCATATAAATGGTATGGTGAAGTCAGAAAATTGATATCTTCATTTTAATTATTTTAATTTTCATACAAATCGGATTTGATGAATTTTTTTTTGTATGAAAATTAAAAAACATAAAATGATGATATGAAATTTCTGACTTCACCATACCATTTATATGCCCATGTTAACATGGGCTAGTGTCGGCTCATATACCCATTTACCTAACACCTGTAGACTGCTTGAATGGTTTAGTGAAATGTGTATCCAAGAACAGATAAGAATAGATTAAGGGCCACATTTCTCTTGGACCAAAAAGTTAAGTATACCTTGATTTTTTAGAATCCAGCAGAGATGTAAACAAACATTTTCATACACAATTACACCATAATCACTTACGTGTTCATAATATCATACACATTATTTAACAAGCCCATGAAACCAACTTTATTTTCAGGTTTATACAAGTTTGAAATCAATCTTTGAAACAAATTATTTTAGCAAAATACGTGGACGATGAAAATTTGTGAGACTTGTCAAATTGACTTGACGTTTAAAATCATGTGTTATCTCCATATTGTCTATGACTTGTCTCTGACACATCAGTGCTGTAACCTGTGAGTCATAGACAATAATCTGTAAATTTAATCGATATTANTGATGTGAAGATAGTATTATAGTGCCGTACCTACCTATAATTATTTTCTATATTCATTATAGATTTTTTTATAATATTATAGATACCTAGGCTAGGTGACAAGCAATGTTTGCCACTTAGTGCGGTGGGACCATGGTTAAAATAAATTACCCGTAGACCCACTGGCAAACACTGTTCAGAACGGTCATGGGACAACGGGTAAAAAAAATTACCCGTGGACCCACCAGGGGGACATGTTGGGGGGACCACGGGTAAACGCCGGCATTAATGAAATTACACTTTAAGCACTACTTCATAACTAAAAAGCTGAATCAATTTTGATGAATTTAGTTGAACGAGTTATTCAAAAATTTGCGAGGTGTGAAGTACCTATACGTTCGGCCGCGCCACTTGATTTCTTTAACTTCTCATTTTTTGCGAATGTAGACTAAAAACGTTATTTTTGGACAATATAATTTTGCCAAATTCATAGCGATTGCTTTAGTGGCGTGGCTACGGAGTATAACACAGAATCAATCCGACAGAAACGGTAAAAGACATGCTAGAAAAATAAAATACCCAAATATTGTGAATTAATATATAATTATTATTTTAAATTGTACATTTAATACAACCAGTATTATACGGCACAACATAAGAGTCGGATTGGAAGTCTTAATAAATAATCTTAAAAAATAATAATTATAGTCGGATAATTCTTCACCGCTTTTTCCTTTCAACTACTATCCACACGATCGCTTCCTAGCGAGTACATCGCCTTAATTGTGCTATTCCAACTTGTATTTGCTTTTATTTTGTGTGATAAACAAATAAGAGTATCCATCTATAATTATTTTACACAAGGCTAATCTAATTTCACAATCTTTTGATTAAATTCAAATTGAAAATATGTATTATTCTTTGTTAATTTAAAAAGGTGTACAAAAATATAAAAATTAAAATCTAATTAATATTTTGAATTTGGGTATTATGACATGATCGAATAAAATATTAAAATTTAAAACAATGAAATTGAAAAATATTCTATTGATGTAGACAATTAATTAAACTACTACTGCCTGCCTATAACGCTAACATTTAAATATCAAATAGAACCTACGTATTTAAGAACCAGTGGCGTAGCTTGGGGGGGGCAGGGGGGGCCATGGCCCCGGGCGGCATATGAAAGGGGGCGGCGGATAAGAAAAAAAAACATTGCATGAACAAGAAAAAAAAGGTCGACTATGTCTACGTTGAGACTAACAAATCTAGCTATACTGGCAATTCAAAATGAGATACAATTTGATATCGACGATTGTGTAAAAGATTTTGCTTTGAAAAAAGCACAAAGAGTACATTTTTTTAAGTAATAGTAACAAAAATATTTAAGGAGCTTACTTACCCCTCTAAAACTTGCGCCACAGATAATCTTTCGTGATTTCTCTTGTTACAAACCGAAATAAAAAAGTGGTTTGTAAATAGTTAAAGCCATCTAAGCTACTTTAAAAACCGTGTATTTATTATATTCTGCAAGTTCGAAATTCAAAATTAGCTAAAATGGTAACTTTTAGAAGTAATTAAATCTGTAACTTGCTGCAAATATCTAATGAATTCAAACAAATTATTTTAAAAAATAGCTTCGATACATATTATACATTTTTCAAACCATTTCTTTTAATTTCGGTCTATAACAAAAGTAATCAAGAAAAAATATGGTGGCGCTGGTTAGCTAGGGTACAACCCTTAATAATATTAAGCACATTGTTATTCCTTCTAAGTTCAATAAGCACTATACAATACAGGGTGTTTCTTATAAGGTGTCAAGCCGAAGGCAGGTGATAGGTGAGGACTAGACCTATCGATTTCACCCCTATGTATGTTGTACGATTTTTCGTAGTTTAGAAGTTATCGTTAATTTTGTGATTTTTTCAAATTTTATGACCTAGTAGGCTTTAAATTTTTTTATCTTTTTTTGGGTTGACTTTTCTCAGATTTCTTTTTTTTGACAGATTCCCTATTAATTGCAGATGTTTGAAAAAAATAATCACCTTCCTATCTTTGATTTTTTATTTACAAAATTTTCGCTAGAAACATAAAAAATATGCTTTTAGCAGAACATTCTAAAATTTTCAACTTAAAAGTTTGAAAAAAAAATGAACTCATACGTCCAAAATAGTTTTAAAAACTGCGCAGTTTTCTAAACTTTCATAATAATACAAAAAAACATGTAACAATACGCCATTTTTTCTGTAATCGCTCCACTAAAGTGGTAAGTCGGAGATTCAATAAAAAAAAATCAAAGGCAAGAGCTTCCTCGTTGTGGATAAAAAAATGTTCTGTTCACTTATTGTCTCTAAATGTGTTCTACGTAACGTAAACTTAGGGGATTGCAAACATTAGTTAGTCCTAAGAAAGTCAAAAACATGTAACGGAATCTCCGACTTACCACTTTAGTGGAGCGATTACAGAAAATAATGGTCTATTNGTTATACACCTAGTGTTACATAATAAAGCTGAGCTATTTAAGAAAATCAAACTTCCTGTGGGTTTCAAGCAATTGCTTCTCTTTAATGTATTTTCCTTCTGAAGCAGTGCGTGGTAGTTTATTTTGACTTTCAACAAATAAGGTGAATAGTGTACCTGAAGTCCATTCAATATAATATTTACACTTTAAAATATTTATAATTAAAATAAAGGGCGGCGGATTTCCGGACGGCCCCGGGCGGCGAAAAGCCACGCTACGCCACTGTTAAGAACACGGAGTACTCAGTAAGGACTCCGCTTAAATGCCTTACTATTGATTAAAATCCAACTGCAAGTCGTCGCTGTATAAATCCATAGAAAAATGAAACTAGTTTTGGTAACTAAAATAATTATCGTCGAAATTTAAACTTATAAAAATGACTAAATAAAAAAGAAGACAGAGTTATATAAAACATTAAATATTATCATACAATGTATTCTTGACATCAATTTACTACAATATTTTTCTAATTTTTTGGTACATTTTATAAATTTCAATTACATTAACATACTACTGATAGTCATGAAAACAATACAATACACATTACACTGAGATATCTGCAATGCAATCTGTTCAAATCTAAGACACCACGCTTCATATAATCAGTTCCGCATTTCCTAATATTACAAATAAGATTCCAAAATCGTTAAATAACGATATTGCACTTACAAATATTACGCATTATTATATAAATGCAAGTAATTTCATTATTACATAATATACACATACTTTATTCTTGAATTCAATGTCAAATTATTAATTAAAACAATAAATATAACAAACAATACATATTAATACTTATTTACATGTCGTCCGTTACCTACTTACAAATTATAATAAACAAATCAATTAAGTAGTGATAGAAGAAAAAATATAAAGCAATATGAATAAGCAACAGGTGGAAATTGTGTAAAGCAATCGTTATCATTTGACAGTTCATAACGTACGATTATTCTGTCAAACGCTTTGTTTAACTGACTTTATCGTACGTTATGAACTGTCAAATGATTACGATTGCTTTACACAATTCCACCTCAGATTTTTAAGATAAAAATAACTCCTTCATTATATCAATAAAAACATAGTTATTTTAAAGTACATTTTACTAAATTTAACTACAGCTCCAGTAAACAAGTGGACGAAATCTTATTTACTTTACATAAACAAAATGTAAGTATTTTCATCAAAGATAAAATCTACTTAAAACTATAAACAACAATTTTGATATCCTCTCCATAAGTAAAACCATAGACTAGGATTATCAAAAACAAAGATGTATAACAAGTCAGTTTTTTATGCTACACGATTACGAACACAAATAAAATTGTATTATTAAAATAAGTATATTGGTTTATACTTTATTCCGCTCGTCAATAATATCGCAAATAAATCAATATGAATATTTTTACGAGACTAAATAAGTCTCAAAAGTAGGTTTTTCTTAAAAAGAGATATGGCTCGCTCTTTGGAACGAATAATTTAATACAAAATGGCGAGGCATCACCTTCGTATACAGATTTAAATTAATCATTTTATATTTACACTAGCAATATGCTTAAAAATGTATAATTTTATCGTCCTTGTATCGCAATCTTTACATTAAATTAGAAAACATACTGAATCCATTAAACGATTTGGCCGTTCACTAAAATTATTTGTGGTAATAAATTATAACATATTTAAGTAACTCAATTACGCACTACGCACAGGTACGCATTAAACCTTTCAAACGAATAATTATATTACGGAGTCATCAAGAGAAGTTACTGTGGGTGGACCATAAATACTGATTGTTTCCTACTAATTTATTGATTACATTTGAAGGAACAACAGATATGACAACTAGCTGTTTCTATAAAATATTTAAAATTAAGTAAAAACCAGACCAAAAGTTTTAACTTTTGATTTGTAAATAAATAAGATCTGAAATACCAGTACGAAAATGCAATACAAAGCTAAAACGGACTTCACATAACGTACATTAATTGTACTAAGTACAATAGTTACCACTACTTAATGTATTCCCAAGGCTCTTGCCACTTAGATTAAAATTTGTTTCACTTGAAAATAAATTGTCGTAGTACGACTAAATAGACGTAGCGTATGCCTCAGTATGGCCAATATAATTAAGCCAGATTGAATTGATTGTTAAGTTCGAGGGTTTTTAATTGGTATTTCATCAATGTCAAATTAATAATATTATGTATTGACTGAAGTCAAAGTCAAAGTTCAACTAGAACAAATACAAACATCAAGTGAAGCCATTAGCTTAGGCTTAACATATCTAGTCTGTGGTGACGAAGGCACTACGTCACGCAGTCGAAAGATTAAATTGCACACACTACACACCAATAGGTATAGTTTAAAACATAGTTCAGTCATTTCAGTCATCTAATTTTTGTGTATTGGCAGAGGATGTGCTTCAGAGTTGATGACGTACTTATTTAAGTCAATTATGTACCTGTCGTCGCTAAATAGTAAGTACAGGTATTTAAGCGTTTCAGAAAGGAAGAAGGTCTCCATCATGTCTCGCTGTAAAGGTTTCTCGGATTTCACGTTGGCCAGCGATGTGTAACCGTTGGGCACCTTCGCATATTTTTCTAAGCTCTGAAATGATAATGAAAACAGTGGATTAATTTATTATTTACATGTATAAATCGCAATAGGCTAGATGACAAAATTTCAATTATTTGTCCGTCACACAGATAATTAGAAAATATTAGACTCATATTTTTTATTTTCTTTCATAATTAAATAATAACAGTGTTACATCGAGTTGAAATGGCGCGATACGTCACACTTGAGTAGAATTTTTACTCAAAAGTGACGTCACGCGACATTTCAACTCATAATACTGTAATTATTCGATTATGGAAAAAAATGAGTCTAATATTTTGTAATTATCTGTCTGACGGACTAAATAGAATTTCGATTTCATTACCCAGTCATCATCCTTATTTTCAAATAATAAAGAAAATTCGTCTGACCTGGAAAATTTGCCATCCCCAATCCTGGAATGTGGTGTTTCCAGTAATCTGGTACATATACCAAAGACTCTCGACGAACTCAGGACGCAGTAAGTTGTGGGAGTCAGCCGTTTTCGTATACATATCGTCAGTAGCACTCGCCTGAAATAAATAGACAGTTTAAAAATTTATTAAAGTTAGTGTTTTCCTTACGTCAAACTTGAGTGAGACTTAGGCCGGGTTGCACCATCTAATTTTAACCTCAACTATAACAATACCTTACCTGGTGCTTTTTTGTATTGAGTGAGCAATTTTTGACATTTCTTATAGTAAAGTAAGATGGGGCAGGCCAACATGTCAAACTCCACACAAAAAGATTGGTTAAAGATAAGGTGGTGCAGTTGAGGCTTAGGATGTCCTTCATAAATGTCCTTCACAAACCGCGTCGTGAGTTGTGCATTAATTTTTACATAAGTGTCTGCATTCTACAGAAGCTGCGGGCCCGCAACCGCCGCGGGCGCGGGTGAAAACTCGCCATGAGTTCATAGCCTAAAATGTCAACACCTAAAGGAAGATCCTCTATTAAGGTCTATGCCTGCAAATCCTGAAGTTAATACTAACCAGGTTGAAATGTGTTATCTCCGGAGCCAGGAAGCTGGGATGCGCCGCGTACGTCAGGTAGCAGGTGTAGAGGAGTTCCTCCGCCATCTTCATGTGCCAGTCGGGCAGGCCGTTAGCGTGGCCCAGCGCCAGCGTGCCTGGTAAAAAACACGTCAGGTGGTCCATCTTTGGATTGAATGACTGTAACAAAAAATTATGCTGGGCTAATGGCAGTTTGGGGCTGAAAAGACGTAGTGTGGGCAGAGGGCATGAACATTTTAGTTCTTGAAAGTTTCCGCTAGGGGCACTGCACAATCCGTCATACATTTAATATCTTTTTTTTTACGCGCTCACTAGTGAGGACGTTTATGTAAACTCACACTAAGCCCTCAGGTGTCCCACCCACTAGCTAGATGGACGCGATACTGTCGCGCTTCTCTTGCGATGCAAACACGATGCACAAAATTAATCCGATACGGTCACGCGTTAGCATCGATACAAACGCGATGCTGTAGCGTGTTAGTAGCGCGTTGGCATCGCTTCTGTAGCGCGTTGCAAATGCGACTAACGCGCTCGTTTACGAAAAGCGCGACAGCATCACCACTAAGCTTTCACATTAGGGCGTTAGAAGCGCGACAGCAGCGTTTTTATAATGCGAAGGCATGCATCCACTGTCACATAGTATGAAATTTTCGGAAGCGCCTCTGTCGCGCTGCTAAATCGCCTAAATGTGAAAGCGCTCTTAAAGTCGCCGTGGGCGAGGGGTCAGTACCATACTAATTGAGTAATACTTTAAAGACGCCTCACCTCTGACCCGGCCGATAGCTCGCCAATAAACAAGTGTTTATTAGGCGACGACCGCTTAGCAAGAAATTCGCGAACGCCCTCTATCGCAGTCATGTAGTCGTCCAACAAACTGAAAAGAAACAATGTCTTGAGACGTTGGTGCTATATTAAACACATTTGTTTGCGAACAAACAGTCGAAACCAGCAAAGCTAGACAATCGCGCTTGAGCCGCTTGGAATTCGCATAGCTTGCTTATGTACATTTTATATGTATAATAATAAATAATTAAAGAGAACGCACAGCATAGTAAGTTAATTAAAATAACTGAATTCTTGGACAAAATGTCATTTGAGAATACGCAAGTTTAGCACAGCAGTTGGAATTAGTCATTATTATAACCTTGAGTCGGAACAGTTGTATCGTCAATATTAGGGAGATTTCAAAATAATTATTTTCTTCGCGTATCACAATTTTGTACATTACTTTCACCCACAACTTTGTCATATAAGCATTTTGAAATAACCCAGACATTCTTAATATTATTTTCAAGAGGATACCTAAAGATTCCTTCCATATTGTTATCGATTTCTCGAGCAAACTCATCTAGACGCGGGCGAATACACCCGAACGAGCACGAACACGCCCGAACGAGCGCAAACACGTCTATCGAGCGTAATACGCGCAGAAAATACGCTATTCCGAAACCGTCACGGATTTCCACTTACTAATTGATGGTCTTCCCGGTCTGTAGCCACTGCTTGAGTAAGTACTCGTAGTAGCTGTCGCCACGAGCGCCGAGGGTGATGGTGGCGTGGGGCAGGAAGTGGCCGGTGTTCGGGTTTATGAATATCGGCACCAAGCCGTGCTTTTTTGGCAACTGATGGATCTTCTCGGACACTGCTGACGCCGCATCCTGGAGTTCAATTTATATTAGAGATATTGAACTGGCACGATCTTGAACAATCTATTGTTAAGTCGACACTCGACAGTTCATCAGACTACACATTTTTGTTCCAGAATAGCTACATTACAAATCATAACTCGTTTAGCTTGATATCGTAACTCTAAACAAAACTATGTGTACTGTATTGTGCTATGTGTAACTAGCGAGAATAGAGGAGATGCAGAAAGTCTCTCAAGTCATTAAAACATGACCCAATGTAATCCCAACTAATATTATAAATGCGAAAGTAACTCTGTCTGTCTGTCTGTTACGCTTTCCCGCTTAAACCTCGCAACCGATTTTGATGAAATTTGGCATAGAGATGGTTTGAGTCCCGGGAAAGAACATAGGATAGTTTTTATCCCGGTTTTTGTAACAGGGACGCGCGCGATAAAGTTTTTCTGTGACAGACAAAATTCCACGCGGGCGAAGCCGCGGGCGGAAAGCTAGTAATAAATAAATAAATAAAAAGTTAGTGCACTAATATTATAGCCTTTTATCTTCGACATAGATACTTTTTTCTGTACAATTTGAAACTTTGAATGAGATTAAGCCCCAATTTATTATAAACACTTAATATGCAATAAAAAATTTAAAATTGAACATTGAAAAACATTTAAAAGGATCCATTATGAATGGTGAATTCCAAAAGTGTACCTCAAACACAGGATTGCCCGATGCCCTGGACAACTCTCGGAACTCTAACTGAACAGTGGTGACCTCAGCTGTGGTGCTGTAGTGGGACCACTCAGGCGCGTGCGCCATGCGAGTGCCAAGGTTCACGTCGGAATACGGTATACCGGACGGCGAGGAGAACGCCGCCATCAAACGATCGCCTAAATCTTTCTGTAAATATACAATTTTTAAAATTAAAAAGGGATGAGGAACAGAACAAAAATTCACAATGAGGGCTATCGTTTTTATACTTAACAGTTTTAGGCACCACTGACAGAACCTTACTCCACAATAGCGCCATCCTAGTGAATGCAAATGCAATAGTCTTACCACTTGCTTGCCAGTTGGCATCACTGTCTAAGCCACTGGCGAGTAACAGTACCACACTCTACAATGGCGCCAACTGGTGAAGCCAAAAATGCAATAGCCCTCATTACAGAAATCAATGTTAACATACGGCTTTTTCAAGGAACATCTCATCTTGAGTAAAATGATAATTGGTCAGCAATGCACCAAGCACTCGTATAGTAACTTCAAAGAAATTTACATCCTTATTCTTTGTGAAAATCAATTGATCTATAATCCACTGCTTGCCTTCCTCAAATTCTGTAATAAAATGAATAAGTTTTTTTAATCTATCTTAAGTTAGCGTTATAAATCTCTGTATACTCATTAGAAAAATTAACAGATAAGGAGCATATTAAATCCAACAAGCAAACACAAACCTTGCTTAAGTCCCATTATATAAGCTGTGTCAAGTCCATCAACAATAGTCAGACCAAGAGAGAACCAGTCCGAGGCCATGCCTGAAACTGGTTTCAAGTTATCGTGGCCCCATGCATGTTCCTTGTAACCTTTCCAAGCATGTTTAAAACTCTGCACGACTGCCACTTGACGTTCCGTAGTTGGACCTAAAATAAATAATTAACTTTTAAATCAAAACCAGATAGGGTAAACCAGAGAGTGATTGCCCACTGGTAGTGATTGCCCGCTTTAAGAATAATATTGTCAGGTGCTGACTTTGAATCACTCTAGTTAGATTTGAATTTACTAAGTAGATGGCTCCGAGATCAATGTACAGTAGATTTAAAATTTACAATAGGAAACACAAAAAAAAAACAGTTATGGCAGATTTTGTCAAGACGGGTGAAAATGTTACTCAAACAGGTAAAGACTTTAACAATTTTACTAAGGAATTACTTGCCTAAAGGTTAAATTTTTTTTGCAAGTTATTTAATATTCAACTAATGGTGTATAGTCATGATNCTCAATGTGTTTGAAATCTTTAAGTGGGCAATAGCTATACGGTTTACCCTACTTTACGATTAACTAGCTGTGACTGCTTTACAAGTTTGAAAGAAAGAAAATATTTTATTTGGCCCAACATATTAAATTATTACAGTATACAGTTTACAATACTTGCACATTTGTGGAACAAAATGGCATCCGCTCAGCATTGTGTCCTGCTCTGAGGTAGACCCAGAACAGGACGCTGTTATTCTGCGGAGGCCACTTTTTTAACAGAGCGTCACATTGGACGCCATAAACATTGGCATTTTTATTTTAAAATTATATAAACTTATACAAAACTTCAACGATTACATAAATTTAAAGTTCTTATGTGTTCATTTCATATACTTTTAGCCCCAACAGCCATCAGTGTTAAGTGCCCCGCCCACTGCCACTTATGTTTGGCAGTTCTGTGGGCTATTTCAGTTTATGCAGCATAGAAATGTACATTGTAGTATTGACTTACCGGTGAAAGTAGGCCTTTCATTGTGTTCACTTTTTATAATAGTTTTCACGGGTTGAACAATAGCTGCTGGTGCTGCTATTGGTTCTTTGACTAGAGACACATTTTTCACAGGTTCCTAAAACAATTGTATTAGTAAATTAGATAAGCAAATATACATTTTACTGTCTAAATTAAAAATTTCAAACACATTCAAAACAGGAAACATGATAGCTGCTTATCAACTAATTAGAATGCGGCTAGCCAAATTATCACTAAGTACATACAAGGAGACAACAGTAGCGGTGTGAGAGATAAAACATATTTTTAGAATTCATGCATTACAATAATATAAGACACCACTTTGTTTAACTTGGTTTGCTGTCGTCCATACATAAGAACAAAGTACTGAAATTATTAAAAGCATTTAGAACTCACCGGATCCACTTTGTCTTTATCACTTTTATTTACATTTTCATCCCTGAATTTTGAAGAGTATAACAATACTAATACAGTTATAATAATCACAAGTACAGCATAAACTATCGACCTTTGCAGGCGAGACAGTTGATTCCATCGCTGAAATAAAAAAAGAATTGGTCACTGCAGAGTCAATTTCATGGGACTCCAGCCGTGGAATTGTGTAAAGCAATCGTTATCATTTGACAGTTCATAACGTACGATTATTCTGTCAAACGCTTTGTTTAACTGACTTTATCGTACGTTATGAACTGTCAAATGTTTACGATTGCTTTACACAATTCCACCTCAGAAGTGTGAACTTGTATGACAGTGGTAGAGAAGTTTCTCCCTATGTAAGGCAGGCAGGTATGATCCCTGTGCTCACAACTCACAGTACACCAAGTAATGTGACTGGTTTTGTTTATGGTCAATTAATTAGTCTACTGGAATTGGCCATTTGGTGTAGTAGTTTGTAACGGACTATGCCAGTGGTCATGGGTTCAATTCCCGCACAGTACAAACATTTGTTTGAATGAACATATTTGTTTGCATTGGTCTGGTATGGTTTCTATCCACATTATAAATGTATGTCTTTACAAAAAAGTAATTTATCTGCTGACTGGTACCTATAGTACAAGCTTTGCATAGTTTGGGACTTTGGGACTACATTTAAATAAATAAATCTTTGGACAATTTCACACAGCGCCAGCTAGCCCCAAAGTAAGCAACTTAATGCTTGTGTTATGGGTGCTAGCTTAACGGATATACTACTTATATACTTTTTTTTTTTTATAAATACATAAATATTATACATACTCACACCCAGACCCGTCACAGAAATTAAAATTCATCATTTCAATTTCTCTACATGGCGCAGTATTAATTCTTTTTCTTATTTTGTTTAAGGCCAGGTCTGGTACTTATTTAAATTGATATTTTATTTGAACCATATAATCCAATACATGTTTTAGAGTGCAAGGTTATCTTCAAATTCAACTGACACAATTATTAAAGGCTGATATCAGGACTGCAACCCTGTACTCGTAAATAACTATCAAATCACAACAAACACTTACCCTCAAAAATTTCCTATGTGAAGACGCTTGGGTGTGATCTGTGATAAATATTGAAGTATCATGTTTTAAGTTCCACTTCTCCTGCATACTGCCTGGAGTAACTCCATGATGGTGTCTGCCTTCTTTGTAAACAGGGTGCGACTGGGCGAGGGACACCTTCATTTTGAATTCAATGTAATTTATACTTTATTAACCACCCATTTTATTATTCTGAAACACGTCCACAATCTGCTGTGTTATTTATTCAAGTGCTTCTTGTTTACTAAGCTTTTATCTTTTTAGAAAATAGGTAGGTGTGCAAGTGCAAAAAGAAGCAACAAGTAATTTCAGAAAGTGCTTAAATTATTTTAAAGGAGAAATTACGGATAGTTACATGTTATTTTAAGTAAATTTCATGACTTCTTTGATAGGTTTGAATCTTCGATTAATCACCCAAAGCTACTTAAGGACTTGTATATAGAGCAGACTACACATTGTGAGATGAATCATTTATGAGATTAATTGCAGTAAATCTCTATTTAAAAAACTTTGTTAATTTCCCTTAATATCGTTTCGTGTAATGTACCACGTCTGCAGCTTCGATAAAATTTCAAAATGTCTTGATTTTTTTCATTTTAAGACCCAAAATTTAAAGCAATAGCGTTATGTATTAGTATGCAAAATATTTGTTGGTCATCATTTTTAATTTAACGATATTAAACTTACAGATTTTTTTGCAATTTCACAGATTTTTTTCTGAATATTCGGAAAATTTGCAAATCAATTCCAAGCACCCCGTCTTGTCAAAATCAGTCAAAATCTTTACCTTTTTTTTTAAAGTGCAACCATAATGATGTATGATACAAAAATCGATATCTCATTCATTTGAATGAGATATGGGCAATTGTACAATCCGTATGAAAACTGAGTGGCGTAAAATAAATTACGATTATTCGTATCATTTTTGCCATTTTTTAGGGTTCCGTAGTCCAAAAAAGGAACCCTTATAGTTTCGTTATGTCCATCTGTCTGTGTCTGTCTGTCTGAGGTTTTGCTTAGAAACTATTGGCACTAGAGAGCTGTAATTTTGTAGAGGTACGTATATTAATCAGGCCGACAAAACGGTGAAATAAAAATAATAAAAAATGCATTTTTTTAGCCCCTATAAAGGGATGTTATGGATATACGTAACCGTAACCGTAAACGAAACTCGGATATCCGAAATAAAAAATATCCGAAACCGTAACCGATTCAAAAGTTTTGGATAGTTTCGGATGTAGGCAGTTTAAATTGTTTTTTGTTATCATCATCATCATCATTTCAGCCATAGGACGTCCACTGCTGAACATAGGCCTCCCCTAATGCTTTCCACGTTGATCGATTGATGTCGTCAGTCCACCTTGTTGGTGGACGTCCCACGCTGCGTTTTTCGGTACGCGGCCTCCATTCCAGAACCTTGCTGCCCCATCGGCCGTCAGTTCTGCGTACTATATGCCCTGCCTATTGCCACTTTAGCTTGCTAATCCGTCAGGCCATGTCAGCAACTTTAGTTCGTAATTGTTTTTGTATAGCATTTTAATAATAACTTCTCTTTAATTATTAAGTATCTTACGTTTACATTCTGGATACCCCGACAATACTTCTAAAAGATTTACTGAATCGTATTAAGTACAATCTATCACTAGAGTATTACGATAGTAATTGAATAAACTGCGGCACGTCCCTTTAGTTTTTTATGTCGGCAACACTGAATAAAAGTGACGTTTAAAAAAGTTGTTTACGTTTTGACATTTGATTTGTGGAGGTTTTTTTCGCTTCGGTCGCGGTACTCGCGGTAATCTGGACAGGCAGATTACGAATTTCAAAACATAGAGATTCAACAAAACTAAAAAGAATCTTTCAAACTTCTTCCAAAGGTACGCTGCTCGGGCTTTGTGAAATGGTTCTCCATCCTCAATCTTCAGCTTGGTGGCTTTGATTGTAACACTCTTTACTGAATACTTGTGAGCCCCTTGTAAGGTTTACCGCCTTCTCTAATTTGTTCTGGAGTCCGGCGTGAAGTACCTAGGTGTTAAACTAACTGCTGTCTATCTTCGAAGAATCAATTTTTGTCTTTCTTCTGTTAGTTTGTCTCGCATTTTCTGTTAGCTTAATATGCGGTTATTTGTGTCTGTATTCGTTTTGTCTTCGATCGCTGGACGCTGGATTCTAATACGAAAATCAACGAAATACATTTCAATATAGGTAGTTTTGGTTGGTCAAATTTTTGGTTTTAGATGTCATAATTACATATAAAAGTGTAAAACCAATATGAAAGTTCCAGTCAACAGTGTGGCTTATTGTGGATAGAAAAAAAATACAGTTGTTTTTGTCAATTGGTCTGTTTAGGAAAATCTTGTTAGAATAACATAATTATGTGGTTTGTTACATGAATACAAATATGAATAGTAATAATTTCAAATTAAATAGTATTTAAATAAATACTGGTATTGTTCTGACAAAATTACTATGTATAATTATTATTTCAGTAATTCAGTATCTCTTACAACAAAGTCTCATAGTTTGATGACTTTTAGATAATTTTACACAATCTGAAAATTCTGCAATTTTTTGCATGTTGCGCAATAAGTTCAAGTTTATTGAAGTTGCAGATTCATAGGTACTACCGTAAGTGGTCCACATAACTTAAATGTAACTACACAATCTTCGAAATTGGATTGCTTTGTCTCAATTTTTCATGAAAGAAAATGAAAATTGAATATAGAAACTTCAACTTTTGTCATAGGTTGAGTAAATATCTTGATCCGAATGGAAGCAAGACTACTATGGACAATTTTTAATACAAATGATTCATCTTTAAAGTGCCCTATCTAGGGCTCTTTAAATTACTGTACTATAGATTTGCTATTAGGCTTAAATTGTTAAAAATCTAATAAACTGTGAAAAGTTAGACGCTTGTTGAACACTTGTTTATATTGTTATTTATTATGGAAATGCCATTTTGTTTGTGTTTTACTTTTTTGTAATAAGGTCTGTTTTGAACTTGTAAAACAGAAACATAATAACTACCAAAAAAGAGCTGTTAAATAAGTAAGCATAACCTTTAGGAGCCAAATATTAAATATACCAACTTGGCTCCTAAAAGTTATGCTTACTTCTTGGGATTGTGCAAACTCGGATTACTTACACGCATTCAGGATCCAGATGAAAGTATGATTTCCAGCTTGCTGAAAATTAATTATTTGAAAAGATAAAGCTACTTAGTATTTTACCAAAAAAAAGTATTACCAACTAGTTCTAGCGCGCAACTCAGTCAGTGCCTGAGGGAGAGGAGGGGTGGTTTTTGTTACGTCAAATGTCTGCGTGACTTCAGATTTTTATGCTCTGTCATGTCATAATAAAGGGTGTCCAAGGGGAATTTTTATTAAAATACAAACTGGAGATTTTTTTTGAAGATAATGTCGTCTAAATAACGCCCGTTTCGCTCATGGCGCTCTTGCAACTGAACCCTTAAATTTGCAAATTAATTGTGAAATTCCTGCAACTTCAGGGCGGATATTTTCTTGCAGAGCCTGAATCGTTTGAGGATTGTTGTTGTAAACCTTTGATTTGAGATATTCGCAATAGCTGATCAATTGATTTGAAAAAATGCGTCCTCAGTTTCTTCATCGAGAATCTAGTCGTGTGTGTTGTGTCAACATTTTGCTGAAATGGCACTCTGTTTTTGTAGCCGGGATGCAGTTGCGGTAGCAGGAATTCATCGATTATTCGACAATAGTATACCTTAGTATACCTCGGCATTTACCGTTTTGTTGATTCACGCGGATTGACGGACTTGGGCCGCGGCCCGCGGCTAATGTTGATGGGTTCTGGAAGAATCCTGTTGACGACTGTCCCTCCTTGCCTTTGCTTTGGCTCCTACGACGAGATAAGTTGTGTGCTTGGACAATCATTTAAGTAATCGCCGAATATCTATAAATGATTGTGAATTGCTTCAAAGTGATCTTAAACGGTTATGTGAGTATTACTCTCGTAACGGACTTTATTTAAATGTAGACAAATGTAACCTTTACTAGGAAGAAAAAAGTTCTAGAATTTGACTACAAACTTTATGATACATCTTTAAAGAGGGCCACCGAGGTGAGAGATCTTGGTGTTCAACTGGATTGTGGCTTATACTTTGAACCTCATATTAATATAATTATAGCAAAAGCGTATAGATTACTTGGATTTATTTTGCGTCAAAGTACCGATTTTAAAAATGTTAAAACGTTAATTATTTTACTTTATAACTCTTACGTTTGCTATCAGTTAGAGTACCTATGCATCGCCTGTTTGGAACCCGATGTATTCCAAGTGTACATAAATATGTTGGAGGGAATTCAGAATAAGTTTGTAAAACGTTTAAAATACAGGTTTAGGAACTTTGATTCCAATAAAATTGAATCCTTACTAGTTTGCCGAGAGCACAAGGATCAAATATTTTTATTTAAAATACTCAACGGATTAGTTGATTCTCCTTTCTTACTAAGCAGTCTGGCTCTGGGTTTCGGCTTGACACTACTTTTTGGGACACCCTGTATATGTCCAACTGTACTGATTATTATATTTGTATAAGTAGTCTTAAGTTATAGGTTTTGTTAATATCTCTTGTATGTGGCGGGGTATTTCATAAACTTCTTATCTGAATCTGCTTCTATTACCTATGCAGCTATGTGATTTAAATCGGCTACTAATATAAGTCTTTCCAAGTTAAATTTTGGGCTATTCTGAACCAGATGTTCCAAATCAGCATTAGCCTCGTCACAAAAATTGCACGCACTGCTATTAACTTCCTTTATTCGCATAATATCAGATTCTAAAAATATAAGATTATCAAAATAGCAGATTCTCAATATACCTAGCCAAAGTACAATCAAGACAACATTAATTTTTTAAATCAAATTTATTTTTAAATATGAGACAAACATTTATTTAAAACAAAAATTATCCCCACATTTATGTTAATTGTTATTAAATTAGCATTCTTCATATTTGTTTAATGTCGATAACATGTCTAAACATTTTTCTACAGTAATTTTGTTGGAAGTGCAGTCAGATAATTTGTTGCGAATTTGTTTATCTTTTTTTACTTGCTTTCTTGCTCTTTTTTCCCAAGGCAATGATATGAACTTCTTTCTAGTCTTATGCTCTGTATTTCGGCTTCAGCTTTTAATAATTTAATAAATTGAAATGGAGTTGGTTTGGCTGGTATTTTTGTATTTATTCTACGATGACCCTCGACTGCATTTGCTGTTCAATGTATCTCATTGTAGCAGCTAAATGTGTCCTTTTATGTTTTGCAACCAAAGGCTATGGAAATATTAAAAAAAATTTGACAGTTCCGTGTCGGGTATGACAAATATGCTTCAGGAATTAAGTTAAGTGGCGGCAAAGCTAAAAGTGTACACGTATACGTAATTTTGCGGCCTTCTGTAGTTCTATCGTAAGCAATTTTTAGCCAAGCCAAAGAATAGTTAGAATTTTTACTTTATTTTTCTAGTGAATGCCATGGCCTAACCTATCACCCGATTTCGGCTTGACCTCTACTTTCTGGACACCCTGTATAGGTAATACAAATGTATTTTTCACGTTGAGTGTCCAATTTCGGTTATATTGAGAATCTGCTATTTTGAGAATCTGTACTATGCGAATAAAGGCTTTTATACGCTGCAAATCGGAGGGAGATGAGCGAAACCTATTGCCAGTATTGAGAAAATATACGAGTAATGTAATGTGTAATTTTAATTTAGCATATAATGCACATCGCATTACAGTTAGAGATGGGTAGTGGGTAAAAACCCATTTCACCCGATTGGGTTTAAACTGGGTGATTTGGGTAAAAACCCGGTTTTTACCCATTATCACCCATTCTGGTGGGTGAAAACAAAAATAGCGTTTTTTTAAAGTGAGAAGTGGTATTTGTTGCTAAGGGGGCGTTCTAGTGTTACGTAATGCAATCTGGGGGAGAGGAGGTCTTGAAAAACGTTACAATGCGTTACAGTGGCGGAAGGGCGGTTCGATTTCAAGTTTTTAAGCAGAAGTACTTTGTAGTTGGTGTTGTTATTTGTAACTTTATACCGTAATGTCATCAAAGAGAGAGTTTGGCATCTTTGGCATCCCCCCCCCACCCCCCCCTTTCAAATCCTTGCCTTGATCACAAATTATTGATTTAATTGGTCACATCATCATAACGTGATCAATTTTACGATTTGGCCACGATATAATGCATTATAGTGTTAAATTTGATTTATTACTTATTAATCAATGAACTTAAATGAGAAAAATTCAATAAAAATAAAGAAAAGATACCAATTGAAATAATTATAAAATTACTAGCTTTCCGCCCGCGGCTTCGCCCGCGTGGAAATTTGTCTGTCACAGAAAAACTTTATCGCGCGCGTCCCTGTTTCAAAAACCGGGATAAAAACTATCCTATGTTCTTTCCCGGGACTCAAACTATCTCTATGCCAAATTTCATCAAAATCGGTTGCGAGGTTTAAGCGGGAAAGCGTAACAGACAGACAGACAGACAGAGTTACTTTCGCATTTATAATATTAGTTAGGATTAGTTAGGATTTGTTTTCACCCGGTGTAAACACCCACGGGTGGAATGAAACGGGTTTTTATTAGGTTTTTACCCTCATGTGGGTTTTTACCCGGGTGGAAACCCATCTTTAATTACAGTATCTTCTGTATTTCGTTTTCCACCTTGGGAATCTTTTGTATTTCGTTTTTCACCTTGGGAATCTTCTGTCATCCTTATCGTATAAAAAATATTCTTGTTTGTCTTCACTAACAATACACTTGCGCCGTACTCTCGACCAAATAAATGAATATGAATATGAATTTCTCACTCACAATCTTAGTAATATTTCTGTGGTTATTTCATCTTTTACTTCGTCCAAAACCTCGATATTAACAAATATTATGCCATTTTAAATGGTTTAAAATAATTACTTTTTTTGGTAAAATACTGGCTAAATTTAAAACCAAAAATGACAAACTGACATTATTTGACATCGCAAGGATTTCATAAAATTGCCTATTTCAAAACTGATGCAAGCTTTGCTATATTTTTTACAGAAATTATAAGAAGTTTAATTTTAAAAGATATTTGTGGTTAATGCAAGAAATAAATGTCATTGATGCCGCAGTCGGAATTTTGGCCGTTTGCTAAAAATAAAGCTAGCGAAGATGTCGACTATAACGGGGAGGCTTCGTTACTGGTATATTTTAAAACATAATTTACTTAACTATCTTATGCCTCGATAAATATCCTAAACTGCGATTCAATATTTAACTTGATATTCCACTTCTTGCTGTCTAACAAACAGCAAAAACAGTTGGGGGATATGGAAGGTGAGGTCAAGGAGATACAGATGGAGTTGGCAGCCATAAAGCGAGACCGCTTAGATCTTCATCAGAGGAAACAAACTAGGGATCCACTGATGGTTAGTTTTAAATTATTTTATTTGATAAGAATTGCCTTGGGTAAACATCCAGTTCTAACATAAGTTACAACTTACAACATTTATACAACATTTTAATTGAAAGACATTTCACATCGTGTAATCTGTATTTAACTTTCTGACAAGGGACACTTGTTGAATGTTGTTCATCGTATCCATAATGCGTTAACATGAACAAACTAAACATCCTAGTATCTCTTGTAATAACAAAGAGCCGTATTGACTTTATGTCGATAGTTGTAGTATATTCTATTACTGATACTAATTCGCGCCTTCATAGTGTATTGCTGTTTGTTTTCAAGATCATTATACTTGCATAGATCCTTGGTTTGAAGTTTGTCACGATTATGAAAACGGCTTTTGAAGCTCTGGAAACGTATTTTTAAAGCACTTATCGACACAAGCATCCTTTGACCAATTTTGTGTTATACAATGTGAACAAATCCTATTATTGATTGTCGATCGTGCAATATTTTATTACTGCTAGTTGCCTAAGGTTGTTACTTGTCTCAATCCTACGATAATATGTCATTTGACTATGTTTTCCTGTTAACTGATGTTTTCTGCCACAATAACTCCTTTTACAATGTTCGCTGGTGAGCGAATGTCACCATTACCTATCTTGAAGGGCCCGAATTGAAATGCAGAAACACTTAAAAACACTACAATTTAGTTTTACTTCCGCACTCATGACGATAAAATTACACATTTAGTACAGAGCGGTTACAATCATGCCGGGTGGCCAGAGAAAAGAGAGCTCAGAGCAGAGCTACAGTACCACATACAAAATTATTTAAAAATAATCTAATAAAACATGCCGATAGTTGGCGCTCTAGTCGGGTATACTATACTTGGATAAACTAGCGTTTTACAATGTCTTTTATCACTAAAAGTGAAATTCAGTTGACAGTTGTTGAAAGTCAAATATTCGCACAAATGTAAGCATTTGATGGCACAATTTTGTAGTCCTATGTTAATGTATTTCAGAATTCAGAAGAAGCTACAAAAGATACTGTACCATATACTGAAACTAGAATCCCAGAAGAATTAGGGAGGTATCCTGAGGTAAATAAGTAATCTCTACTTGTTTTGGATTGTTCTTTCCTTAGTTCGTTTTAGTCAAATTACGTCCACTACTGAACAAAGCCTTCAAGGATTTTCGTAATCCCCGGTCCAGCGCTGCCCGCACCCAGGTGCTTCCTGCAATCTTCAGCAAAAAATGGTGGTTCTGGTAGTGGACCTCCCAACCTTAATCCTTTTTCAATTGACTGTTTGTCTGTTTTCTTTCAACAATAGCGGGTAATTTTTATGGCACGCTTTGTTTTGTCATCGATGTTTTTGTTAAATTTAAGATTTCGAAACTTCGAGAGGAGCTTATCAGAGCAAAAAATGCTGCCGATGAAGAGAGGTTCCAAAGAGAGAAATATGAAACTAAACTAAAAGATTTGGAACTCAAATTGAACAATATTTGCTGCGCTGAACTTGTAGCTGAGAAAAAGGTATCTTTGCATAGACAATATCCTTTTCTTATTTGAAATGATAACATAATAGGTTCACAAACGAAACGTCAGACTTGAGGTGAAATCATTTAAGGAACTATTTATTGTTACATTTACCAATGTTGTTAGTAACTCTCGTGGGAAGGGCGTAACGGCAAGATTTGTAAACAACGGCATTGTTGTAAGGCACAATGGCAATCACGATGCATAATTAATAAATTGCATGCTGTTCATAATAGGAGCATCGGAAATTTTCCGAGGAGGAGGTCAATGCTATGAAAATACAGATTAGAGACATGAAAGAGGAGATGGAAGAAATGAGAATAACACTTGTCGAAAAAACTGAACAGCTGCAGGAATATCGAGTGAAGGTACTTTTGATGCCTTTATTGATTCAAGTTGTTAAACAAAGATTTGACCCTTTGACTGGTCTTGAAAATATAGTTTGTATTGTATTGTATTTAAACTTTATTTTCATCTATGTAAAGTTCAATATGTGGCAATCATTCAGCCAGTAGGTACCATTAAAAGGTGATATCGTACGTTTAACTGGAAATTATTAATTAAGTTAATAAAATTAAGTAAATTAAAATAATTAAGTTAATAATTCCAAATTGGGAAAAGGTATTTATTTCTACATAGCTTAACCCTCGTATTGATTACAGTATCTTCAAGCACAACAACAGGTAGAGGAATTGAGAAGACAATTGGATGTCATAGAGTATGACAATAAACAAGTTTCAGATCAAATTCAAATTGAAATACAAAAAATGAAGGTATTATCCTGTTAATTTGTTGCTAAATAAGTGAATGTGTCTAAGAACTAGTTCTAATCCTCGAAATTCAGATGCAGTTCCAAGAAAAACTTCAGGAATTGGCTCCTTTACCAGATCTATTGAAAGGCGCCCAGATTCAGTTGCAAGAAGCCAAGCAAATGCAGAGGCTAGCCGAAGATAGCTCCCAGCAATTATCTAACGAGTTGCATCGCGTAAAAGAAAAGGTTACACTCACGATTTTAATTTTCTACATAAATCCGAGAAACATAGGTATCACAGATTTTTCCTATACGTGAACACGTGCGCGTTTGCTGTTGCTGTTACATTGTTTTCAGGAGTAAAACACTCCGAGTATGCGGACAAACTATTTGAAAGTATTCTTGTTATTGTATGAGCAAGTCTACATGTTTACTATCAAATCATTGTTTATAAGAAATAAAATGTAAATGCGTATTGTTATTCACTGAAATTTGCAGCTGGTGGTAGCCGTGAATAATTTAAACCAGGAAAAAGCTGATAGAGTCAAAACACACGACGAAAATAAGGTTTTGAAAGTAACGTTGGATGAGAAACAAAAGGAAGTCGATGATTTATCAAAAAATGTAGATGATTACAAGTAAGTTTTGCTGAGTAGCCTTTCCTCTAATTAGTCCCTTGTGATTTTTATTGGAACTAGTGAAACTTTTTCTTCTCACTAGTTCCTTTGTACCTATTGCTATCAACTGGAGCAAATATTACAATTAAAACTATATTATTTTTAGCTATAACTTAATTATATTTACTAAAATGATGTCAACTATGATTGTAGTGGCTGGCTTGAGTAAAAAAAAACTGTGACGTCTCTTATAAAATTATCATTTTCAATCGATTTCGTTCAAGGTCTGGGTTATCTGTCATTCATGATCATTATCGCCATAGAAGACAGATAAATCGGCATCATCGTATAAAATCTTCTGGGCCATCAGTATGCTCGTTTCATTTTTCAGAACTTTATTAATACCTACTATTCCCGTTTCCTCCTATGAAGCAAAAAGGGAAAGATCTCCCGCTTTGCCCAGCTTTTCTTGAGGTCGTTGGTCCATTGAGCCACTTTGTACTTTACCTCTGCTGAGATGTGGTCTCCACTCGCTAATCTATTTACCCCATTTTTAATCTAATTGGCAACGGCTACTTATGGTCCGCACTGTCTGTGTGCGGTTATTACATTATACAGGGTGTTTGGCGCATCGTGTGCCAAAATGATTTGGCGGATAGAATGGGTCATTTTCTATATTTTCAGCCCCCATAACACGTTCCATGCCAGGCGGCTACTTTTATATTAATTTTTTTAGTAATTTCACCAAAATACCCAAATCGCATCATTTAATTTCGATTTAAAAAAAACTACTAGGCGTAGCCTCAAAGTAAATATTTTGTTTTGATGTGCATTGATGTAGGGTTGCATCAAATTTAAATTTACTGGCAAATATCATCTAGTTTTTTTTTAATTCAACTTTGAAGTTTTCCGAAAAGTTAAAAATGGACTGAACATTTAAGTTTACATGGCTATAAAAAAATAAATAATAGACATAGCGATCTTCGGATTTTATCAAAACTTCTCTAGTCTATCCCCATTCAAATGGTATACTAATCTTGTTGAAATAATAACAACAACTTCACAAATTCCTTAAATTAGTGCATTGACTCTACTCGGACTGATTTGCGAAATTTGTGTTTATAGCCCCTTTTTGTATGAATAGCACGTTAAACACCTAACAGGTAAAAATTATTTATCTTATGCAATGTAAAAACCTTTTCCCTATCGTTTTTCAATGTGGATTTCTTGAATTTAAGGACTAAAATAATTATTTTGATCGTTTATTAATAATTACAAATTTTGTTCAAAATGTCCGCCTCGGCAACGTATACACTCACAACATCTTCTTCTAATTTCGAATGTTGTCGTATGCAGCCACATTTCTCTTTTTATTACTACAAAGGCGTTTTCTATTCGTTGTTGTAGTTCTTCTATTGTTTGAATCCGTTACGTACACCAGTTCTTTAGCTCGTTCCCAGACGTAATAATCTAACGGAATTAGGTCTGGGGAACGTGCAGGCCACTGTATAGGGCCATCTCTTTCAATCCACGAGTAGATAACGCCTTTGTAGTAATAAAAAGAGAAATGTGGCTGCATACGACAACAGTCAAAATTAGAAGATTTCGTGAGTGTATACGTGTTGCCGAGGCGGTCATTTTGAACAAAATTTGTAATAATTAATAAACGATCAAAATAATTATTTTCGCCTTTAATTTCAAGAAATCCACATTGAAAAACGATAGGGAATAGATTTTTACATTGCATAAAATAAGTATTTTTACCTGTTAGGTGTTTAATAACGTGCTATTAACACAAAAAGGGGCTATAAACACAAATTTCGCAAATCAGTCCGAGTAGAGTCAATGCACTAATTTAAGGAATTTGTGAAGTTATTGTTATTATTTAAACAAGATTAGTATACCGTTTGAATGGGGATAAACTAGAGAAGTTTTGATAAAATCCGAAGATCGCTATCTCTTTCATTTATTTTTTTATAGCCATGTAAACTTAAATGTTCAGTCCATTTTTAACTTGTCGGAAAACTTCAAAGCTGATTTAAAAAAAAACTAGATGATATTTGCCAGTAAATTTAGATTTGATGCAACCCTACATCAATGCACATCAAAACAAAATATTTACTTTGAGGCTACGCCTAGTAGTTTTTTTTTAAATCGAAATTAAATGATGCGATTTGGGTATTTTGGTGAAATTACTAAAAAAATTAATATAAAAGTAGCCGCCTGGCATGGAACGTGTTATGGGGGCTGAAAATATAGGAAATGACCCATTCTATCCGCCAAATCATTTTGGCACACGATGCGCCAAACACCCTGTATTACGGTTTTATGCTATAGGTTAGGTACGTTATGTCCTTGGTATACTGTATTGTTGGAGGACCATGTTGATCTTCTGTCGAATGACCTGATTACATTTCCGAATATTTTTTTTGCTAGATAAACAGATATTTATAATATCATAATTATTTGGCTCTTCACTGTACCTATTTCAATTTCTCAGGTCAATCTTATGCCTATCTTCTTACGAAGGCCTTAAAAGGTATGTGGCTCAATGAGAACGCACGTAGGCACACTTATAAATAGGTACTGTATATTATCTCAAATAAAAATATTACAATCAATCAACATCTTATAACTTTACGTCTCTCCACATAACAAGAATCGGTCACGATGGCAAACGCCGTAGACTAATGCAGGGTGCAAGAAGTTCGGTTATACTGATACAGGCCTCATAAAAAAATCTCGCCCGTACCATCCCACTGTCTTAAATAATATTATTATGATTTAAAATTCTTTTACAAGTGAGACTTGTTACGGTTAAAAGTTGATCAATCGAGTCGTTCTAAGCTGGCCTCAATAAACATAATGTAAATTAAAATATAAGTTGTTTATTATATCTCTGATTTAGATTTAAAGTAATTCCATACCTTAGATATGTCGCGCCGAGCTATCAAGTTTATTTAGTGGTAAAGTCCTTAAAGCCTAAGTCTCTTACGTTACAAAATTGCCTGTCGTTTGTGTGTCGGAATGACAAGCAATCTGCACTCTACATTGATATAGCGTAATTGATTTCTGCATTGGGCAGGTGCAAAATACTGCGATTGGAAGAGAAGCTAACTCAACAGGATATCCGATTCAAGGAGAAATCAACGGAGTGCATGACATTACTGAAGGATCTGGACGAGTTGAGAATGGAGAGCAGCCGGTCGTTGAGCCGGTGTAAGGACAGAGCGGACTCCATGAGGCGGTACCTTCAGACACAGATATCTGAGATGGAAAGGCAGCTGATCCAGAGCCGAGCACAGTGCAGAGCATGCCAGAAGGAAAGAGATGAGGTATGTCATATGTGTCGATGCAATAACCCACTCGGTCATTTTGAAAATGACAGTATCAATATCAAATAAGCCGTTTTAGCAGGTAAACAACGATAAATTCTCAATTTAAGGGCTCTATTTTCTGTTTAACTGGTTTAATATACCCATATTCTTATCGGTATTAAGTAGTTATTTTGGATATTTTCTACCTATAGGTAATAATTGTTTTCTTATTAGCATGATTTACGTATAATGTGACAGATTATTTTTACCTCTTCAACCATAGTTATTGGCAGATCGTTAAAGCTTATTGTACGATTATTTATGTTTATTATTTGAGTTTTAGCAATTACCTTTGAAAATGATGTAAATTAGGTACATATTTAAATAACTGCTATCGATACGCCGATAAAACCATATTACCTAGTTTTAGAAGGTATTACATTGTTAAGCTATTAGAGATACGTAAGTTAAAAAAAACGGAATAGTTTCTTAAAGCGCGCATGCATTCTGTGATGTTATGTCGATATAGGTTTTGTCCTGTAGGCCTAAGATGCGCGCCGCGCCATTTTATCGAACTTACGCGATAAGCCCATAATTATGTGTAGGGGAGACCGGGGATAGTTGACTAATTTTTTACTAAATCATACATATTTTTTGTGTTTTCATCCATACAGACAAATGTCAAATCGCATTAATGGATAGAAAAACTATTAAACTAATAAAAAACAACAAAACAGAGTTCATTATTAAATATCATCATCATATTTAAATGCATTTTATAGAACATCAACTCTTAGTCAATCTACCCCGGTTCCGGGGTAGATTGACTATATGCCCGGGGTAAGTAGACCTACGTATCATTAAGCAAGAAATTATGAGAAGAGTCAAGTAATAAAACGCTATTTTCAATTTAATTGAACTCTTTATTCAAAAACAATTATAATCAGGTACATACATCTTTAATAAGTCTTTAAAAAAAGTATCATCTCTTAGTATTTAAACTTTTTAAACTAAAATCTTCTGTCTCATTTTAAATCACATATCACTCTTTATATACAGGTTGTCCCAGATAGGTGAATCAAACTGATAGGGGAAGTAGTTCTACTAATGTACTATCCCTAAAAAATATGAAAAAAAAAAACAAAGCACATAAAGAACCAATTTTTTTTAAGTGAAAATCAATAAACTTTGCCTAAGTATCTGGCCATAATTGCTGAGTTTGGAGTTTATTTGTACTTTTTTCTTACCAATATTAATTGTGCATGATCGCTTCGTTTATCTGTAAACAAAATTTTGAAAATAATGACTAGATTTCGAGTTTAGAGCACTTTATTTAAAAAAAAATCCGAACTCAAATTTTTTTTTCATGTTTTTTTGAGATAGTATATTAGTAGAGCTACCTCCCCTAGCAGTTTGATTCACCCATTCTGTGACACCTTGTATAGTACTTTTACGTTTTCGAGTATTTCTTCTATTATTTTCTAAACGTGGCGCCGCGGAAACGGTCTTATTTCTTCATCGTTTAGTCGTCCGTTTATAGATCCTCATCGTGCTGTAGCAATAAAAAGAATGTATGTATTAAGAATCGAATAAATAGATAATTTTAAAGATATTTTAAACTCAAAATGTTATTGGGGTTGGTTTATTCAACCAGCCCCGGAAGAAATTAGTCTACCAACCCCAAACGACATTTTAAGTTTCGATGGCATGGATAACCTACACACTGCCACCTAATAAAGAAATAACACAAAAAATAATATCAATGTGGACTCATAAAACACTCTGACTAATAGGCAAACGGTTAACATAAAATGTGTAGGTACCAAATCAAAAAATTTGCAACACGAAAATATTACTTACATGATATGAAAACAAATCACGGGTCACTACTCGAAAACGGCGTGTGCCGGCGACGCGGTGCTACCGACGCCTAAGCGGAGGGCGGAGAGTGATGCGCGGCTGCGCTGGGATGACGCAATACTCGAACCGTTGGCGAGTTTTTGGCGGTTAGTCTACCTACCCCTATAGGCAACCATCCCCGGTCTCCCCTATCGTCCAAAATCATGGATAAGATTTTATCACGTCGCGCATTCTAGCCCGGCTGGAAGGCATCCACGCTCCAGTATGCTGCGCAGAGGTCGTTACCTTATTACAAGTGTCATTATGTAGTTTTGCGTTTTGTGTTGCTTGGAACCCCTTCGGACAGGTTCGAGGTTATTTAAGTACAGTTCATTTTATTGTCGTTTTATGTTTAGTGAATGTTACGCTCTGTTGGTAAGGTTGTTTTAAATTCCAATATAAGTTAATAATAAAATTTTAATCAATGCAAATATTTATTCTGACATCTGCGTTTTTTAAGTAGGAAACGTAGATTTAATTTAGAACAAAAAAAAAACTACAATAAATCTATTTAGCAGTTATTAATTACCTAGTCAACTACCGGTCCACATAATATAAATAAATTACATCCCAAATCAATAAATCCATACTTGGGCAGTAAGCCTTTGCAAATACTAATATAGACAAGAATATCACCTTGTTACTTGCTACGTATTACCTTGATAGCGATTTTATTTTGTCCTTACTTATTATTTTCTGACGTGTAACAACTCGAACTAAATTGCAAGCAAAATGAAGGCATTTCAAGGTATTGTTATACAGTGTGAGTCACGTTAAAGTGTACATATGAAAATAGATGAAACTAGACCTATTTTTATCGACAAAAAAGAGGTCAAAAAATTTTTGAGATTTTTTTTTAATTTTTTATAGATTTTTTTTCTTCCAATTACTTATTGTAAAGAAAACATAATAACTTTTAAACTAAGCGGTATATCTTGATAAAATAAAAACAGTAATAATGCTAAATAACAGGCAATACTAAAAAAATACATAAAATACACAAAAAAGGCCAACAAATAATAAAAAAATTATACTTTTTGAAAAAAATCCGCTTAAAAATTCGTGTTTTTTTGGTTATTTGATAAATTTCTCTAAAAAATGCCCCTATAACCGGTAGTTTTTATTACTTTGTATTATTCTCTATCGTATTACCTTCGTAAAACGAAAAATCGCATGTCTCTATCCCTATCACAACGTTTGCAATGATCGTTTGAACTAAGCCTCTCCGGGCGCGCCATTCAACGCTTCGTTAACAACAAAACTGAAAATGGCTCTAGATTTGTAATTTTGATAAAGACAAGTTAGATTTCAAATAAAAACAAAAGATTTCGAAGTAAAATAAGCATTTTAGTTAAAATTAGAATTGTCTCTACCTGTAGCGGAGAATAATGTTGTGGCAGGCCTTTGTTCAAACGATCATAACAAATGTTGTGATAGGTATAGAGACATGTTATTTTTGGTTTTACAAAGATAATACGATAGAAAATAATACAAAGTAATAAAAACCACCGGTTATAGGGGCATTTTTTGGAGAAATTTATAAAATAACCAAAAAAACACGAATTTTTAAGCAGTTTTTTTTCAAAAAGTATCATTTTTTATTATTTGTTGGCATTTTTTGTGTATTTTATGTATTTTTTTAGTATCGCCTGTTTTTTAGCATTATTACTGTTTTTATTTTATCAGGATATACCGCTTCGTTTAAAAGTTATTACGTTTTCTTTACAATAAGTAATTCGAAGAAAAAAAATTCTATAAAAAATTTAAAAAAAATCTTAAAAAATTTTTGACCTCTTTTTTGTCGATAAAAATAGGTCTAGTTTCATCTATTTTCATATGTACACTTTAACGTGACTCACACTGTATTTGATCTTATAAATTATGCTAATGCAAATTATATTAAAAACTAAAGGTTAGTTTTTAATATAATATTCTCTGCGGGTATATTCACGTAACTCCGTCCAGAATGTTGCTAAAATTAAGTGACCTAATAACCAGTTTTAATAAATTTTATTTCCAAAAATTACTACTATTTATATTTGTCAAAAAAGTATTATTCAGTCACTTAATACAGCTAGCGACAGAAATAGGCAAATTATGGTGCTGATCCTACTGCATCTTCCTAAGGCTCTAACCTAAGGCCTTCCCAACTAAAATGGTCACGTCAATTTGTTTATAGATTCGCCAACGGATGCAGATACAGATAAATAATCTTCAAGAAAACTTTGAACTGGTGGAAATTCGGCTGCGGGCACTCCAGAACCAGGTGTCTTCCCTCAAGAACAGCTACACAGTGATACTAGCTGACGAGGACGACGCGGCTGACTTCAATAAAATTGCGACTAGTTCAACAAATTGAGTTTCAAGTGATCATTATTATTAAAGTTTTATTTTATACCTGCTGAATTATTCTTACATAAAAAGATTCTTTTATTTATCATAAACACTACTTTTTACTATTCAGGCTTACATGAAAATTAATGGGCAGTTTTCCCAGCTTGTGCATAATAATGTTGCAGTAGTAAGGTAGGTACATAAATGTGGATAGAGCTTTCCCGTTCTTGGGTAGAGAGCACAAAATTACAATTTCTTAAAAAAAATAGGAATATAAGAAAAATATTAATTGAGCAATAAGTTAATTTTATTTTAGTAAATACGATTTAGACACTTATTTTTTTCGTGAATGTTTGTCGTTGTAGATGTTTTTCTATAGATTTTCCGCCAAGAAATTAGTGTTGGTGTTTGTTGTCAGTTAGTGGATTTTCGTTAGTCACCTCTTTCTTATCAGTTTTTTAATGTTTTCCTGGTTAAAGCTAGGACATCATTGCCGATTCCCAGAAATAGATTTATCAATTTCAATTGTTTCGGTGTTCAATTGTTTTTCCCATGTCAAGGGTTCTTTGATTATCATTTATTTTGTTTGTTGAATGTTCACAGTCATGATTTTTATGTTGATGAACGTTTCGAAGAATTTTCATTACTGAAATTAATTGATGTAGTCTTACAGTTTTGTTGCTGGATGGGTACATTAATGTCGATCGCAAAATTATTCTGCTCGTTCTGAGGGCATTTTCTGCATATCGTTGGGTATATCAAATTACCTACAATCTTCTATAAAGACTAAAGGCAACCTCGTTTTGGTTCTGTTAAAATTGACCATAATGCAACGGCAACGAATAATTCACCAAATTAAGAATACGGAATAAATTCGTTCCATTTCAGTCGAAACATAAATGTATAATATTATTAGATAAGCTGTGTTGATAAACGATAACCAATTTGAAATAATAAATTAATTCGTCTGGCTGAGGTTTCGAAAAAACTTTATTAATATCAATAAGTACTATAAATGAATGAATTAAATTTAAAAATAAATGTTGTTTTACATTTTTCTCCAGTTTTTCAAAGTGCTTGAATGAAATTGATCCTACTTATAATTGTTGTCATTGTCTGTGTGTGATTTGTGTCGAGCCTACGTAAGTTGTGTACTGGATATCATGGTGTTTTCCGTTCAAGGGTTTCTGCGATGGTTTTTACGTCTGTTGGCTACGTAGTAGTACAGCGAAAGGATTCCTTGTGAATTACTCTTTATGCATAGTATGAAATTACTATTACCAAGTTTGCCCACTTGTCTTCCCCAAATTCTGATATAATACATACTTAATTGGGTACATCTATAAGTAAAAACAAAATAATTTGCAGAACTCTTGTTAAAAGCGAAATGTATGGTTTTGTGAAAGTATGAAACAATACTAGTATAGTCGGATGATGAAAAAATAAAATTAGCAAAATAATCATTTACAACTTATGGTAATTGTCTCCGATCGTCTGTTACTAAGAATTCCTGCAGAAACTACAAATCGTAGCTACCTACTAGATGGATGGTTGAACTTTGGTGTCATAAATTTGATGTTAATTCTGTGAATATTTACTGATGATGAATACAATCAAGTCGTAGGATAATTTTATTATCTACCTACATACCTATACTTTTTCAATATTTAATTAAGTTAGACCTTGGTACAAATCTCTTATTATTCACTTTATTAAATGGTTTATAAATCTAATTAATAGGTGCTTGCGCCACCTATTGTAATCCACGATACAATGAAATATGTAGATCGTTAGAAAAATAAGAACCAAGATTTTTTTACGAGCAAATGCCTCACAATTCCCTTTCAATATCCTACTTCCTACTAGTATTATAAATGCAAAAGTTTGGATGGATCTCTGGATGTTTGTTGACTCTTTCACGCAAAAACTACTGAACGGATTTCGATGAAACTTTAAAAAAATATTGACTAACCCAGAATAACATATAGGCTATAATATGTGACAAACTAAACACGCGGGTGAAGCCGCGGGCGAAAAGCTAGTTAATTCATAATTTAATGTACTCATACTCATCCTTTTCGTAAATTAAAAAGACGATGTAAATTCCTACATAATAAGCTGAGTCCACTTTGTCACGGAATTTAAGCTGATCTAATATTACGTCTGCCTATGCCCGAGTTTTTAATGAGGCGCAACAGCGGACAGGTATGACCTTGTTGACGTTCCTCGGATTCCTGTGGCTAAATACCTGCTTAGCAAAAGATATGTAGTGGCCAAACTATAAATAAATAAATAACTTGCAATCTTAGCTACACAGGCCATGCGCCCGCGCCCTTGCCAGGTGAGGCCGAGCCTCTCGGCTTGCCTCGTTTAATGTCAACGCACAAGTCCGACCTTTTTATTTTAATAAAACATACTATACTTCATTGTTAATATGCGTTTTTGCTTGTTTTAATTATACGCGCGACTTTGCTCCATATCCGATAAACCAGTTCTTTGTTAATTATTATTCACAAAGTTTTTACGGCAACCGCAACACTAATTATATCGAAACAAAGGACTTTTTGTGACAATATTAATTTGAGACTCATTAATTATAGTTAACTAGCTTTCCGCCCGCGGCTTCGCCCGCGTGGAATTTTGTCTGTCACAGAAAAACTTTATCGCGCGCGTCCCTGTTTCAAAAACCGGGATAAAAACTATCCTATGTTCTTTCCCGGGACTCAAACTATCTCTATGCCAAATTTCATCAAAATCGGTTGCGAGGTTTAAGCGGGAAAGCGTAACAGACAGACAGACAGACAGACAGACAGACAGAGTTACTTTCGCATTTATAATATTAGTTGGGATTATTCGGGAAGTATCCGAAACACCTTAAAAATATGTCTAAAATGTAGATCAGGAGCAAACTTTTTTAGTGTTATGATTTAATTAAATGGATATTGCTTTTAAAGTCGATTAGTAGACGGGCAACTGTATATTTCACAATCCTATTATGTAAGAATTGATCATATTCCTCTGAGACTGGGGCAAATCTTATTACAGGTGCGCGCCGTCGTCCCGGCTCCCTCTGCTGATTGGTTCCAATCTTTATTTCATTTTATTCTTTAAATTACTTTAAAAGTATTCCAAGAAAAGGCTTCTTACTTGAATATTGCGGCTTTAGATGCTCAGTCAATTTAATATGCTACATAACTACCAATGTTATTATACCTACTAAGACGATATTCTAAAAATAGTATGAATATCGTCTAGAGTATTTTGGTCGAATTTTAATATTATTTGGCGTAGTATAAACAGGTCAATTAGGAAATAAAACTTCGTAATACACTCAAACACATATTTATTGTTTGATTTTTTGCTTTTTGGTGCTCCATTTTCATTTCTTGTGTTTTTAAATTATAAATAATACTAGTAGTTAAGGTCTCGCAAAAGCCGCACTGCCTCCGTAAATGGGCAATCGGGAGGCTTGTGCAGTTTCCCAAGCCCGGGCAATGAACTCGGCAATAAATAATACAATAAGGTACAAAAAGGTTTTCAACGTAGTTCCATCAGATGGTTTCCACACTCTCAAACACACCATACACACACCAACAATAGTCTTAATTCTATAATATCACTAGCTATACAGAATGCGGCGAGGCCGCGTGCACTGAACCATGTGTACTAAGTAAGGTATTCACTCGAAATGCGAGCTCTTGAGCTTCTTGACGGCGTTGGTGAGATGTAGCATCTCTGTGTTCAGCTGCCAGATGAGAGTCTCCAGCTTGTCCACGGAGTCGAGCACCTCCACTCGCTCGGTGTGAGGGTTGAAGCGCACCTCGAATGGTCGAGACATGGTAGATACCCAGCGTCTGTAAACAGAAGAAACATTAATTTCTGGTTTAGAAGTTTCATAAATGCATTCAACAAAATCTTTAAAATATATAGGTATTGTTTTGTTAAATGGAACACACCGTACCTGAATTTATCTTTGGCATCTTCGAAGCTTTCGGCAACGTAATAGATTGGCTGGTACTCTTGGTCTTGGTAGGGCTGAATCGAAGTGGAGGCAGGGTCGAAAGGCCTGTGCTCAGGCTTGTCACTGAGGGCGTGGAGCAGTTCACCAATGGAAGAGAGCACAGCCGCACCATACACTTTCAGTTGTTGGTTCTCCTTGCAGAGACCGAATTCAACGGTAAACCAGTAAACCTGTGCAAAGAAAATATTCAATGGATATCGTTCGTACAGTCATTTACATATATAAGTTGATATATGAATGAGTTCGCATGAGCTGGGCCCAATATTAAATACATACACAACTTCGCATTGCAATGATTCTTATACATTCAATTGCCATTATTTAAAAACATTAACTTACGGTAGACAGCTTTTCGATCTCAGCATCAGAAGCGCCTAGTGATGCCAAACCAATTTCTTGTGAGAATTGGGCGAAGCTGGGGTCTGCCAAAAGTGGGATGTGCCCAAGAAGCTCATGGATACAATCTCTGGAAAAGAAAAAAGAAAATTAAGACTCAAAATTGTCCACTAAGTTTACTACAGCCCGTTAAAACTGCTTTTTAGCAAAATATTGGTCTCTAGTAAAACTAGCTTGAAACTCGATAAAATATCCTTTGACGTTTAAAACTTTGTGCAGAAACGCAATAACTTTGAGCAAATTTTAGCGGGGCATTTAACTACGTTACAGCTCCATCAACCGGACGGGTCTTGTCCGCTCCCGGATGTTAAAGCAAATTGTTATAGATAGCTAGAAGGAAGTAAGTGAACAAAATAAGAGGAAGTATATTTAAACTGGTAACATAATTAGGGCCGTTCCACATAAACCATGATTCGACCTAATTCACATATGATTCAACAAGGACATATTGCGTAATATTTCCGTCAAGAGAACAGACAAGGTGAAGTAAATAGAAATTTTAATCGTTAATTTTGATCAGGCTTGTATATTTTTGATTCTGACGTCATGTTTTATTTTATTTAATACTAGCTTTCCGCCCGCGGCTTCGCCCTGGGTTATCCCGGAAATTATTCGAATTTTTCTCGCCGTAAAAACCGTCCTTGGACTTTAGCGAACGTTAAAAAAAAGAATTGGTAAAATTGGTCCAGGCGTTGTTGAGTGATGCGCTTACCAACACATTTTGCGATTCATTTTTATATAATACAATGAAATTTAATCTACAAAATAAATTACTATTTAAAGATAGAAGTTATACGTACGGTTCAGGGGTGTGGAACGGAGAGTTGGCGTGGCGTACGTATTGTGTAGACTGGAATACACGGAAGGCCAAGGAAGCGAGGAAGTCACGGGCGGTCAGCAGACCAGCCGCGGGACGCAGAGTGAAGCCAGTGTGCTTGCGCAAGAAGTTGCTCACATCTTCCAGTTGCGGAATTCTATGGGGCACAAAGATATCAGCCTCTTGAAGTTTTTCAAATGCTGCCTTGTACTCCCTGCAAGCGTGTTTAGGCATCAGATCGACCACGGAGTTGAACACTCGCTGCCAGGTAGCGTTCTCGCTGTCCTTGTAGGTGATCGATGGGATCGGGTCACCATACTTGTAAGCGAAAGCAATTTCTGCAATCTGTTTCCTGCGCTCCCTGTAATCTTTATCCGCGAAACCAGGGTGGTTCATGTCTAATTCAGGTTCGAATTTGGTCATAAGATGGTTGCAGTTGTCGAGATCAGAGGCATGGCGGGGGAACCACGGGGTCTTGCTGGAGATGTTGTTATCGGACATGAGGTTGACTCCGGCAAAAGCAGTTGACTGACGAAGAGATCTGATGAGTTGCAGCAGGTTGACGCGGGACATGCTGACTTTAACGAGCGCGTCGAATTGGACGTCAGCGAGTTGTGACGGACGCGTTTCCAGGTGCTGAACGGAACCCTTGTAGTTGTCGATGGTCTTGAGGATGCGGGCTAGAGATCCCATGCCGTCGCGCATGCGGAGCAGCAGAGCAGCCTGCTGGACGGCCTGCTCAGCCTCCGGGGACTCGCTAGCAGCGTTCTGCAGGATAACCTCCTCTTCGGTTAGAGTGTAATCTGCATAAACAAAAATCAAAATTAGTCAAAAATCTTAAAATTACCAAAATAGTACCTGTGTTTAAAATATCTTTGGACTTCAGACAAATATTTATACGCATTATACTGACCCTCATCATTAGAAGCATCGTCTCCTACGTCAGCATCAGCTATAAAAATAAAAAATAAAAATAAAATGAAAATAAATTCACAAAGAAACAAAAATCAAAATCAAAATTATTTAAATTTACCAAGCTGACCGTTCTTCGTTTCGTCTTGCTGAGTGCCATCTTCAACAGTTGGTGAGTTATCGCCGTTTCCAATGTAAACTCCATCTTGGTTGAATTCGGAGTCCAAGCCAGAGTCTAAATTAAATAAAATAAACAAACAATAAACAACAAAAAAAAAACAAATAAAAACAACTAAAAATAAATTGGTTTTGCTCTAAATTGAAATCAAAAGGGCTCTTGATCAGTCATCGTTTTAACGAGAGGATAACCGCGCAGATAATTTAACCGCTGTAGAACCTTTCTATGGATATGTCAAGTACTTTGACTATAAGTGCCTTCAGGTTATTCGATTGCATGTAAACGCATTCGGAAAGTAAGTAATTACCTACTCGCGGGATACGTAAGTGTCGTAGTTCTATTGTATAAAATATTCTACGATGAATATTTACAAAAACTGGTTTACAGGAAAACCATTGTTTTGAATTTAGGTAGCGTTATCCTACCTGTTCTTATTATCAATAATGATGCTATGTCCACTGGTACTCACCATTGGCGCGGGCGCGAGCCTCTTCTAGAACGCTCTGCTTGGTCTGTTTGACTACTAGTGTTTCGAAGCGTGCATCGTCTACGAGGGAACGGCGGCGAGATGGGTAGCCGTTCTGTCAAAAAGAAAAAAATAATTTAGGAAGGCGTCATGTGAAATAAATAAGTTAGAGCAGCTATGCTTGGACTATCCACGCTTTCCTCTGACGTCATTACTCGAGTCAGCTGTCTATGGCGCATCCCTATGGGTTTTTGCGTGTCGCGTAACTCAGCGTAAAACCCCGACATTTATTTGTTTGTTCTCCTATGCTAATTTTATTAGGTAGGTAAATCTTACTACTGGTTACCTTTATTATATTAACTTATCTCTAATACCATGAAAAAGACAAAGGTTCACTATGTTTTATCAATATTTTTATAATAGCCAAGCGATTTGCAATTTAAATAGAATTCAATATTTGTGCGCCCAGAGGTCATTTGATCCGCCACGCTGAACACAAAGGGATGGCTAAAAATAGATTCTCTAAATCCTTATAAATATAAAGCGGTCACATCGCATTATATTTCATGTGCGAGTAGGAATTGCTTTTACGAAGTTCCTAAGCTTATTTCCTGCGACGGGCGTAAAGTGCTGCCATTATCCCCCCGTTCCCGTCCGGAAACTCCATCTTGTGATGGAAATCTCACAAAGGAACACCAGTTTCTGGACGAATGAGCTCGAAAGGCCAATTATAAGTTCCAACTTAAAGCTGACGCACTATCTGGCACTCGTTTTAAGTCTTTAGCTGGCTTAGGTAATAGCTTAAACTTAAATCAAGAGTTATTTCTCAAAAGGTTCTTTACTCGTAAATCTATCGATTGTCGACTGCAGTGTTTCATTACAACGTGTATTCGGTAGGTTAAACTCTTTCAGTTTATAATTAGAGCAATTTGTTTCAATTACTCGTGATTACACAAAGTGGCGAGTAACATAACATTTATATTCGTAATAAACGCATTGTTATCGTATTGGTCGGATTGTCTACCGTATTGTCTGAGCAGCGGTTCCGTCGCGAGCGAGGTGCGTCAGAGGCGCGGGCGTAAGGCCTAGCATTTTCCACTAGAACGGCCGCGCTGGCCTATGTGTGTCAAGGGTTGCACTAATCACCTTTGATTGTTACTGAGCCCCTGTAACGTAGCCTAGCACATAATTGCACCTGAAAACTTTAACGCGCGTGCAAAATAAATTTCGCGACCGTCAACAGAATTGCGGAAACGCCAGTCGTATTGTGAAGTTAAAGGTCCGCCTAACTGGAGCGGGCAGGACTCGGAATCCGGTTAATATAGCCTTGGTTTGTCCGAGTGGCCACTTCACCGTTCCAATCGGTCGGCAGATAATTAAGCGGGGCCGAGAACCGCCAACTGACCTGTGTCCACCCTACAATTATCTAAACCAAGAACGCCAATTTGATTGACTAATTCATCATCACTAGCCGTCAACATGTCTACAACTAATCAAGCCATTAATGAATGACTTAAACATATCTTAATTTATTTGTTACATAAACTACAATGTCACCGACAGCGTCAGATTGGTGAGCAAGACGTGGATAGAACGACCGCGGCGAAGAATCTGTTGGTCAAGGGCATAATTCAACCTCGAATTAGTTTTAAGCAAATTTGGCGCGGGTCCTTTGTTTTTGCACGTTGCTATAACTGATTAAAACGGAACTAATCGGCGTAAAAACGAATTAACTGTTTTTTGTTTGCTCGATAAAGGATTTGAATGAAGGTGACTGTCGTAATTCGTTACCTCTATGTGCACTTGCTCGTATATGCATGTTAAAGTGCTGCGATCGTGTCACATGATTGAATTTTAACGATCTTAGCTCATTGCAGTAGGCTGGTGAGCGTCGCACCTCCATGCATTCCGACCTTCGATGGTCAAGGAAATACAATCATTCATCCGCCAATTATAAAATACATGATAATTATAACACGTAAGTTTAAACCGGGCTATCGCACAGCATTGTGTGTTAAAAACACATTAAACAAACAAAAGCATCGCAGTTCAGAATAGGTACATCTTAAATCAACTACACATTAACAATTTAAATTAGAATTTATACAAATACTTGTAAAATTCGCAACAATCGCTCAAGCTTCGTGACCACGAACCATTGGAAACTGCCATGGAAACGAAACTGCCATAGTTAATGCAAAAACAAATTAATTGAGATGAGGTAACGATTACGAGTTGCACCTTGAATATTGACAATGGTAATTAATCTCGAATAAGACAATGATGAGACCGTTAACGGAATATTTTTCTGGGGCGACTGAACTATTTAATACGCGAATTGCATTTTCGCCGGGGAATCTCCGGTAGCAAACAATGAGTTTATATCATTTTACGGTAATTGTTGCGCGAGTTGTTGCGCAATTTGTCACACGACGATTGTGATATTGTCGAGAAAGCGAGCACGGTGTCACTTAATTGTGAATTAATTACGCGGCGGAATAATGACATTACGGGTGTCTCGCGCTGCGCCCGACGGCGACCCGCCGAACTCACCAGATTTGGGCAATTAACCCGAACGTACAGTGAAAACATTTAAATTCTTTAACCAACTGGTATCATCTCTGTACAACGCTTTCACGCGATTTCTTCGGCTGCCTTCAACTCGGAGGTTTTGTCTCTTTAAGTGTAAACAATGTGATTGTCAGTGGAGCGTTTAAAATTGCTGTCGGTAATTTGTTGATAATTATGATAAACGCGTCTGTTTTATTAGCCGCCTATTGTTACCTTATTCGTACAAGGCCGATGGGATTTGACAAGCAACAAGTAGGCAATTGCGATTACGGAGATGACGTGCGACTCCGGGAGGTCGTGCTGCTGCACTTAACGAAACTTTAAGTTTCGCTTCAGTTTACTCTACATTCAATTTGACTAATGCATTCACTACTTCCTAGGTCATGTCGTAATTGCACGATAGTTATTATCTATCTTAACAATCAGCAGTTAACTAAAATTAATCATTATTTACGTTAGTTACCGAGCTTATTAAATCCGTTATGTTGTATTAAAATATTTATTTTTTTAATTATGTTGTCATCATTATTAATTTACTCAAATCAATATTGTTATTCAAAACAATGTGTTTTTAAGAAATCTAAAACGTGCAATTATAATATTGAACAGGTAAATAGTGAACTCGAAGTCGTTTTAAGGTGAGACTTTTTGTAATAACAACAATTTAAACTAATTGCTTTTATGGGCGGTCATTTAGATAATTATGAAGATTTATGATGTAAACAAACTTTGTTGTTGTTAGGCATTTAAAACTTTGAATTTACCGCCAATAAAAACTTTTGAAAACTTATCCCGTAATGGTAAGCAATAGGCGCAGGGTCCTGGAGGATCCAGGGGGAATCCTGCGAAAGCAGCACTCCTCACCTCGATGCTGTAGGACTTCTTGATGGCGAACATTTCGCGGTTCTTCTGGGCAGCTGCGACGGCCATATCGAGCTTCGAACACACCACTGGGTACTGCCTGAACTGAAGTTCACTGCGCGTTTAGCTAGCGTAAGTCTGCGAGAGCTTTTTGTCCCGACCACCGGCTGTAGCCTGTCTGTCTGCGACTGAAGCTGTCGGACTACTAAGGCTAACTAAACTTTGGATTGCAAACAGACCAATGCATGATGACCGTTCGTAAGAACAGTTTAAATAGTGTTAGGCGCGCGCCTCCCACCCCGCGGCGCCTTTCGTCGCGCATGCGTCACGCCGCGCCCCGCGCGCCGCGGCCCTCCTGCCTCCTGCGGCGCGGCAACCCTTAGCACCCTCAACGCCTACTCCACACCATCACCACTATGGAACATAACTCGCATTTAATTGACGAATCTCTAGAGTTAATTTAATAGCCCAACATACCGTTATTGAGATAGCTATGGAATTTACAATAATAATGATCAATCTCGGTAAAAAGGTATTGAATTTGCTTGAAATTCGCAGGTACTTTGAATCATGGTATGGAGGAAAGTTTCAGAAAATTGGGCTTTACAGTTGTTAATATTCTAATATTTTTGTGACATCTTTAAATTAATACTCAGATTATGGTCACTTAACGGTTCGTTAGTTTTTGTCATCGCCTTCGCTCTTAATTTTAAATGTCTATCTGTAAGTTGCCTGGAAAATATGGCTTTTAGCGACAAGGCCGCCTAAATTATGCTGCTCCAATTTATTGACATTGTAAATTTTTACACTTAAATTAACTTGAATGTATTTGGATCAGATAGATTTCATAGCGAAAGGGTAAATTGAAATGGATTTACGTATTTACGTTTGATGTTGATGGCAACCTCATCATAGGCTATTAATCTCTCTAAGGTCAGATTATCAAAATCTGTGATTTGTAATTTATTGTAGAGTTCAGATAGTGATGAATAGAGAATGATTTCCTTTAAAATATAATAATACTGTTGTTCCATAAAGTTATTGTTTTGTTTCATAATTGATAAAAAGCGGGAGTAAGGATACTACATAATTATATACTTCCTTGTATGTCATTGTTTCTGGATTTTCTAGTGGTTTTTTTATTAGTTCATGATTTAATTTTAGATTATAGGTACTCGTAAACTATATTGGGATATTGTATTGATAGATACCGAAATTGACATAACGCGTCTTTTCATTAATATTAAAAAAAATGTTCTTCTTACATTGTCTGGAAGGTATCACTTTTATGATAATAATTATCGTCCTATTCCTATTGCATTCCAATTTGTTGGGTCCTCTTATGTAATTGCTTATGCTTAGTGCTGTAAATCTATATAAATAAAAATGAATTGTTGTTCGTTAGTCTGATTAAAACTCGAGAACGGCTGGGCCGATTGAGCTGATTTTGGTTTTAAAATGTTTGTCGTAGTTAAGGGTAGGTCTAAACGGTGAGCAAATAAGGAAAAATTGCGATGGCTTACTTATTGCCTTTAAGGCGGAACAGAGTTCGCGGGGTTAGCTAGTAGTAAATAAAATCGAGTATCGACTCCATTAAAATTAATAGGTGGGTAAACTTACTTAACCCATCTTCATAAAGAGCAATTATTTTTCTGTTCTAAATGAAATCTCAGAATAAATTGTATAAAATTTAATAAGAGTTGTTGGCAGCGTTTGTCCGTCGTCCTTGCTGGCCTGTTTGGCTTATCTCAGAAACTACTGTAAGAATTTTGACACTGCTTTCACTACAAGACCGATTCGCGAGTATTGCACGTGCTCTACAAAGTGCTATACTCGCGCAAAGCCAGGGCCGGTTGCTAGTCTCATAAGACTTTACTACCAATAAATCACAAGATCCGTCATTATTTCCTTCATACTTAATACATATTCAATGATTCGATATCATATATTGGATCATGCAGTGCAAATTAGAAACATGAGTCTTCTGTCAACATCAACTTAACTATAACTCGATGATTTTAAACCAAATAAGGTTATTTATACATAACTAGGAAGTGATTAAGTTTTGTACGATTGTATAGCTTCCAAAGCGTTTATTATTTCCTGAAGATATATTTTTATACTAAAGCAGATGAAAACAATAACATTGCGCAATTTATTCAATTGCACAACATAAGATTAAATGGACTAGGTTTATTCTACTTAATATTGACTAATTAAGATAAGGTCAAGTTTACTCTTTCACAGTTACTAGCCAAATAAAGAAGTAATATATGCATCGGACGTCACACTAACATCCCCCGACTCTAATTGGCAGCTTAATTATTATTCTCCACGACTAATATGGCGATGTATCGATAACTTTTAAATGATAATAATATACTTAGTAAGTCAATGAAATACAAGTCCACAGTTAATCGTTAATTTACTTCCTATAAAATTCGCAATATATAAATTTAAAGCCGGACATTGCTTTGTCGTGTCGTGTTACGGATCCTTGGCGTGGGTCCGGCATTATCTCAGGAAGTGAATTACTTCACTTAGCTCTACTTGTGTAGGACATTAATACAATATTCTTAACATACCTGTCAACAATGTCAAAGAATACTAATTTACGATACTACAACGTTAAATCATAAGTGACAAGTCACTGGTTTGCAAGGTATATCATTGATTGCTAGCACCATGCCGTTAGAAAAATGTGCGTTAATTGCTTACTCGTAGTTAGGTTAGGTTAGGAACTGGGAAACCCATTTTGGTTTTATTTCAACCCTTAATTTTCCATATTTCATTGATCATTTATTTACTAACGCAATGTGAGGCATTATGCTAAGTCATCATACGTCATATCAGGTTAGTTTCTGAGGGTGACCTCAGAATAGTTTCTGAGGTTTCAGGTTAGTACCTGATATGACGTATGATGACTTGGCAGTGATGCCAGAAATCAACAGCTTATCACAGAATTTTAAATGATACGTTAACTTGTTTCTGATTGGCTGACTGAAAAACCGAGGATAAGTGACTGTCTAACATGAAGTGATTTCGAAATAGGCATACGTTTTTTTTTTCAATTTGACATTGAGTTTGGGAATCCCTTTAAGGACAAAAAATATTCTAGATAATTCTGACAATTCGGTCGTTACTCACCGTACTTACCGGCTCTATGTCCGTATTAATTACGTAATAGTAGGCAGTACCCAATAGGTACAAATGTATTACCCAGCTAATTAATATTCGTCGTGACAAATTGATTTACAAGTAAGGCAGCTTAATGAGACACAATCCGATTTTTACATCGTTGGATTTTACATCCGTACTAATCTCTACTTAATATAAAAAGCAATAATTATGACGTTGATGTAGGGAAATATTCAAGTACGCGCCTACTCTATCGCGGGCCATGTTATGTATTTATTAAATTAAATGTTTATCATCTAAATGAATTAAAATAACTAATTAGGTTTTTTTGAACTTTAAGACATAAATTAAGTATTAATTATTCTGCAATATCTAGACAATAATTATAGTGGTCCCCTAATTTTAGCCTATTGTTTATTTCCTTAAACGAATAAAAAACCGGTTTTATACTATATCCTGTCATTTGAGATACCGGTTTCGATGATAGGTAAGTATATACAACTAAACTCACATCTGAATTAACTCCTGCATATTTAAATATCCAATACGACCATATTAAGGTGTTTTAATAACTGAATTAGTATTAATTAAATACCAGTCAATATAAAAGATACAGTCGACTTAACTTAAAAATGTGGTTTTCTAACTTCCTATTGCCTCCTTGGTTTGTCAATATATTTGAACGTCATCTGAACTGTCGCAACTTCTTTCATCAGTCGTCATGTGTTTTGATTAGAAGATGTAGAGTCAAAGAATATTAAATGCGATTTCGTTCGCTAATTAGAATTCTAAAAGTTCAAAAATGTTTACGCCTCCTGGCCTATATCATCAAAAAATACCTTTGTTCCCTTTTTTTCTGTGTACGTTTTCTGTGTTTTCTGCAACTCGTCATCAAATAAAAGCATTACATCTTTTAAGGTTCTATCTAAAGTCTCCAAAGATTTTTTATGTGCCATCGTGCTTTCATTCCAAACAATCAATTTACATTGCTTCAAAACCTTTGCCATTGCAGAGCTCTTCGAAATGTTGCAGGTAGGAGTTTCATTGCTTTGCATCGTCGTCGTCGTCGTTTCAGCCGAAAGTCGTCCACTGCTGGACAAAGGCTTCCCCCAAGGATTTCCACAAAGACCGGTCCTGCGCCGCTTGCATCCAGGTTCTTTGACCACGACCTACTTTGCATATTTAATGGAAATTTTAGTGCTGAATGGGCTGTTCGATCACCTTCAAGCAAAGTTGCTACGATTCCCGACGAAGTGAGTGCAAGTGCAATTGTAATTTGTGAGCAAATTGTTGCTTATATCAATGAAATTAAAAAAGTTTTTCCATTATTTTGTCCATTATGTTAGTTCATTTGTTTTTACTTTGTGGCCAAATTCACGTACGGCCAAGAGTACAGCAGTTAAAATTTATTTTCCACTGTACCATCAAGGGAACAGCCAAGGGTACACAGGAAAAAAGGGCTTGATGCTGATTGGGTTATGTTACATGATATTAGTCCAATTTTTAATGATGATTTCAAATCTGTGATTGAAATATCTGTATCAGCTCTGGTTAAAAAAATATGACACTTGGGTCTTTTTGTAAAAAAACACTCTTTTTTTAGAGATGATCCTATTTTATGAAGTTGTTAAGTTGAAAAAACTTTCTTTTATTTGACTTCCTTGCTGATGCTGAAGGCAGACAGCTCTTCTGAATGATTCAACAGCAGTCAGCCATCATGTGTGCATTCCAGTGGCCCTGATAGCGTCCCTCTATCGTACGAAGGCCCTGGTGGATTTGCTCGCCATGTTCTTCACTTAGATCCTTAAGAGTTGTGATAAAATTGTTCAGGTGATTGCGAAGAGAGTGTAATTCGATGTTTATATTACATCCAACCAAAAAAACATGTTTGTAAGTGACTCATACGTTGTTCGATGTGTAAAGAATAGTAAGATTTTTTCGGATTTTCCAAAAAAAAAATTAAAATGCCAAAATAACTCATTCCATGTCTTTTCGGAAGACTTGAAGATCCTAAATCTCTAAAACGATCGTTTAAACCATCTTGGCTACATGGTTTTGAAAATTTCGGGTCACATTCAAAGTCTCTACCACACTGACAGTTTTCGCCTCAAAATCCTCATGTG